CCTGACTTTGTTAATTTGATAAAATGAATTTTAGACTTTGGAAATCCTTGGAAGTAGTTTTTTTTATTAGTTGATGTTCATGTACATTAAATTTAGGGTACTTCTTGGAAAAACCTATTATCAAAGTAGCTGTGAATAAATAAATTCTTGCCTGAAATACAGGATTGATGTTTACAGGGCATTTATCCAAAATATTCTGGTTGAATTGGAAAGTATTTCACTTTTCATCACTGTATGTGTTATTTCAAACTTGAACCAGGTTAATACACAGGAAACCCACTTAAAATTTAAAACTCTCCTGAGAAACCTTATGGCTTTTTAATGTATCAGTTCTAGCAAGAAAAATGTACCTTAAAATTTTAATAACATGATTCATATTTTAAATATTGATGAATACATGAAAAATATTGTCTTAGTTTTTCCAAAAATGAGCCAAGCTACAAATTTAAACCTCAGAACTCTAATACCACAGTTAAGGTTATGGATGTTGAATTTTAATTTAATCTCAGAACTGGTCTTTCAAAAATTTGTTCTGTTATTATGTGCATATGTGGGGTGTGTGGGTGTGGGTGTGGGTGTGTTTGTGAGAGAAAGAGAGAGAAAGAAAAAGAGAGGGGAGTTTTGGAGGACACTTAAGATCCAAACCATAATAATATAGTATGAAATTTAAGCTATCATTTTAAAGAAAAGATAACAAAATCATGGCCAAGTGGAGTTTATTACAAAAACAAAATCTTGGATTAACCTTTGAAAATTTGTGAAATCCATCACAGTAATAATTCTGTGAGGAAGAACACAATTATTTTTGTATATGCAGAAAAAAAAACACTTGATGCAATTCAATTTTTTTTTAATTTTTTTGGGTCTGGTCGTGGGGCCTGAAGTTGGGCTGTGCACTGTCCCTCAGCTCTTCAGCTCAAGGCTAGCACTCTACCTCTTGAGCCACAGCGTCACTTCTGGCTTTTTGTTTTCTGCTTATGTGGTGCTGAGGAATCAAACCCAGAGCCTCAAGCATGCAAGGCAAGCGCTCTACCACTGAGCCACCTTCCCAGCCTTTCAATTCAATTTTTTAAAGAAAAAATAACTTTCAAAAATTAGAAATAGTGGGCTGGGAAGATGGCTCAGTGGTAGAGCGCTTGCCTTGCATGCCTGAGACCCTGGGTTCAATTCCTCAGCACCACATAAGCAAAAGGAAAAAAAACCGGAAGTGGCACTGTGGCTCAAGAGGTAGAGCGCTAGCCTTGAGCTAAGAGCTGAAGGATAGCGCCCAAGCCCAGAGTTCAGGCCCCACGACTGGACCCCCCCCCAAAAAAAAATTAGAAATAGAAGCAGGTACTGGGTTGTTGGTAGCTCATACCTGTAATCCTAGCTAATCAGGAGGCTGGGGTCTGAAGATCCCAACTTGAAGCCAACCAAGGTTGACAGATCTGAGAGATTCTTTTCTCCAGTTAATCAGCAAAAAGCCAGTAATGGAGATATGGCTCAAGTAGTACAGCACCAGCCTTGAGTGAAAAAGCCAAGTAAGAACATAAGACCCTGAGTTCTAGCCCTAGTACAAGAAGGAAGAGGAGGAGAAGGAAGAGGAGAAAGAGGAAGAGGAAAAGAAGAAGAATAACAAGAAGAAGAAGGAGAAGGAGGAGGAAGAGAGGGAGAAGGGGAAGAAGGAAGAGGGCAAAAAAGAAAGCTTCAATTTGTAATATCCAGTATATCTATCTACAGCCACACTGAAGGCAACATTTCTGTTGCCTTCTCTGAACCATGCCTGGGAGATAACTTGGAAGGACTCTGAGTCCTTAAATGCCTGAGTAGCTGCCCTACTCCCCAGGACCATTTATAATAACACCATTACATTGGAGAAACTTAAAACGTTGTTGTTCTTTTAGCCACTGATGATTAGTTCCTTTTGTTAAAACAGCTTAACTGCATCCCTGTTGCTACAAAGCTGATAAGTAACTTGAAAGAGGAGAAAAATTCACTTGAAGAACATTAATTTCAGTGACCAGACATCATAAATGTATAGATTAGGAGTTGTAAGAATAGCTATCTAGGCATGTCTTCATAAGCAAGGCTGAATGTCTCACAGTGACAGAGGCCACCAGAGTGCTTATCAGTTAAATTCTGGTATTTGCTGTAAAATACAAATGGCTTTATTCAGTTGTCACATTATTAAATTTTAGAAATTTTAAAAACACTTGACCCCAGGACTGGGAAGGTGGCTCAGTGGTAGAGCGCTCGCCTTGTATGCATGAGGCCCTGGGTTCGATTCCTCAGCACCACATAAGCAAAAAGAAAAAAACAAAAACAAAAAAACACTTGATCCTGCACTGCTTTATTTTTTTTAATAATCTTAATCCACTAACATTTACTATAATTACTGATGTATTTGACTTTATGTCAACCATATTTGAGAGATCATTTGAAGGTTCTAGCAGGGGAACATAGCTGAGTGATCTCCATGTCCAAAGAACCATGGACCAGTGAGGGAAGTGGGTACCCACTCCCAGCCAGCCAGATCAGCCAAATCACCCTTAGCAATGGGTGGGAATAACAAATGTCTCAACTGACCTTACATCTTAACATATTTCTTTATGTTTCCTTTCCCTTCTCCACTCCTCTTGTTCTGCCTTTTATATACAAATCTTAACCCTCACTCCCACTTGCTTGAAAAGCTCTAGATTGTATTTTTCTCCTTCTAGTAATACATTTCCTGACAGGGCATCAAGTTATTCATTATTGCTCTTCTAAATATGTCTGATTTCTCCACATCCACTCCCATTTTAGCTTCACTTCCCACCCACTGAACACTACAAAACTGCTCAAACTCACCATAGTATCTTTTAGAGTGAAAATTTTACTTTAACACAAAATATTTTTATAATCAATAGTAAACATATATACCTTTTTTTTTAGTTGGTTGTAGGGCTTAAACTCTGGGCCTGGAAGCTGTCCCTGAGTTCGTCAGCTCAAGGTTAGCACTCTACTACTTGAGCCACAGCACCACTTCTGACTTTTTCTGTTTACATAGTGCTGAGGAATTGAACCCAGGGCCTCTTACATGCAAGGCAAGAACTCTACCCTTGAACTACCTTCCCAGCCCCATATATATACCTTAAAAAAACACTACTGAAGTTTCTGAGACTGAAGTTAGACCCATTGGTTGTTCTAACACACAGTAGGTACTCAATAAATATCCTATTTCCCCACCCCTAACACACAAGTAAACTATTTGTCTCAGCAGCCCTTCTCGCCTCTTGAGTTAGATCTATTTCAGTACAGTTGTCAAGAGCAACTTGTCTTTTTCTGTGCACTGTACTTGACTACATAGCAGAAGAAACGATTCAGGATTAAGTGTTCCTAATTCTGAGCTATGAAGTGTTGAAAGTGATGGGGAAGGAAAGGCAGAATGTGGTTCCTCAGGGAGAAGAACCAGCCAGTCTGTTGCTGCCTTTCTTGGCTGCTAGTTGGAATGCAGCCATAGGGGCAGCTGTTTAACTGTTTGCCCAACTGGAAAGAACACTGCCAAGTAACAAATATCTTTCATAACAACATTTGACTTTGGCTAAGAACAATAATAGTGAAATTTATTAAGCTCCAGAAGTGCCAAATGTGGCAGATTTATTACTCGGCAGGTTCTCAACCTAGTCTGCACATAGATGATCATTATCATTTGTAATATTTATTTAAAAGAATAAATGGGCTTCCCAAGGAAGTTTGTACAAAACACACCCACAACTTAATTATTTCTTTTTTTTGGGGGGGGAGGTCCGGTCATGGGGCCTGAACTCTGGGCCTGCGCGCTGTCCCTCAGCTCTTCAGCTCAAGGCTAGCGCTCTACCACTTGAGCCACAGCGCCACTTCCGGCTTTTTTCTTTTTGTTTATGTGGTGCTGAGGAATTGAACCCAGGGCCTCATGCATGCAAGGCAAGCGCTCTGCCACTGAGCCACCTTCCCAGCCCTAATTATTCCTTAAAAAGGTAGAGGATTAGCTTGAGAAAAGGAAGTGTCTCTGAGAGGAACAATGAAAACACAGAAATGTCAGGGGGAGAAAATATTTATGTATTTTAAATTTCTGCAATAGTAAGAGTGACATATCTCCTATTTTTCCAGGAAAATGCGGGCAGCAGAAACAGGTGCTAAACCTCCTACAAAACTCATGGGTGCCAGCACTCATAGGCTATACTGGCACTCTATGTTGTTAAATAGAATATCGATGCAAAGTACTTAATAATTGTGTTGAATTGACTGTGAACCAGATATAGGAGATATATGTAGGAAATTACCAACTATCTTTACTTAGTGTTAAAAATGAGTGTGTGGAATGTAGGCAGTCAAAATTGCACACACTATTAAATAAGCATAATTTAAAAATTTATTGTAAAGGTGTTATACAGAGGGATTACAGTTACATGTCAGGTAACAAGTACATTTCTTTTGAACCGTATCACTCTCTCTCTCATCTTCTCCCAGTTTTTCTCCTCCCGACCCTTCTGAATTAGTATAATTTTCTTCCAAGTCTGAATGTACATGGGTTATGATCATGTTAAAACACTCCATCCCTACTCTAGGGTGTATGAAGAGATCCTGAACACAGTGGTGTTTGTCCCCTGAAGTCAGCAATAACTGCCAGTCAGCATTCAGTGTATGATCCGTACAATCAATTGGGAAGACAGGAGGAACAAGAAGTTTGTACTCTTATTTAATAACCCCCCAACACCAGTCAAAGCTGGGACAGGGACATTTTTTGAAGATGAAACAGGCTGCACGAAGCCACCATCAATATGTATTCTAACCTACTTTTTTTCTACTCTTTACCCAGTGATAATTAAAACTGTTTAATTTGGCTGTTCCTTTAAGTTACAAAATCATACATTTCCACAAAGTTGATGAGATTTCTCTTGGAAAAAGATAAAAGTCTCACATCCCAAGTAAAAGTCTCCAAGGAAGTTAATAAGCTTTGTGTTTTTTTTTCAAGGATAAGGACAAAACAGCCAATGCTCATCATGGATAAAGTTTATAAAATCACTTCCACAGAAAGGACCCGGCTGTTAGAAAGAGAGCTGGCTATACAATTGAGTGAGCTGAGGTCTGAGATAGAAGAACAGAGGGTCCTTCCAGGAATGGCTCACCAAGCTTACAGGTAAGGAGCGACAGTGAGAAGCCATGGTCTTCCACAGCTTCACCACCCACTCACCCCATGATTTCCTTCAGGCCTCTTCTGTTTTTACATGGACAATTGACATTGTCTCCAGTTCAGAAAAACAGTATACAACAGCTCTTTGAGGATCTTCTTTCTCCCATCCAAGTACTAATTAGGTCCAATCTCACTTAGCTTCCAAGATTAGAAAAGATGAAGTACATTTGGGGTTTTAGGGCCACAAACCAGGTGCCTTTCCCAATCTGAATACTGCCTCTAAGATCATCCTGTACTTCTAGACACATGAAGAATTGAGGCAATGTCTTACTAAAAGTGGAAAGAACGCTTTTACATAATATACTTTAAAAAAGGAGATCTCATTTTACTACTCTGTGTGTGTTGTAATTTCATGTTTGTTTTAAAAATAGTGTGGAAAAAAGGTATCACAAACTGTTAATAGGACCTTACTTTTTGGACGTAGAATTAGAAAAGTAAAATAAGAAGAGATATAAAGTTTTAAGTTTTATATTCTAGTTCTTCCTAGCAGTTTTCCTATGAACAATATTGCCATTATTATTATTATTATTATTATTATTAATGTACTGGAGTTTAAACTCAGAACCTCTCACCTTCTTGCTCACTCTGCTGGTGCTCTATCACTTGATTCATGAAGCTAACATGGCTTTTGCTGGTTTTTTTAGAGCTGGAGTCTCATGGACTTTTCTACCTGGGCTGGCTTTGAATCATTATTATCTTCTAGATCTTAGACCTTATAATATTTAATTCAATTTGAACTTAAAGTTTTGGTGAGATATTTAAAAACTGAAATAATGACTTCTGGGCAAGGAAGTTCTACTAAGAGCTCATTAGTAGGTAAATACTGCATTCATCACTACCAAGTTCCTAGAGTCAGGGTAGCCAGTTCAGCCCCTAAATGAGTTTCCTAACCCAGATCTTTGTGTCTTGACTTTTTGTTTCATTCAAAATGAGAATACTGTTGGGCTGAGCAGACAAAATGGTGCTTGGGAGGGGTGAGGAGAGAAGATACGAGAAAGTTACAGTAACCAAGTGAATTTGTATTTTATTCCAAAGATAATTCTGAACATCTTGGGATGTTTTGTAATAAGCTTTAAAAACTATTGAAAATAAGAACATGGGCTGAGTGATAAGATAGAAAGATCACAAAACTATGAAAGTCATAATTTCAACTTAGGTTTATTTGAAAAATGAACTTAAAAATGTCCTTTTCTTACTTCATAAGGTTGTAAGGATCAAATGATGTAATACATGTTAAAGCATTTTGAAAATTAGAAAATACTATGCAAAGACCAGCATTGATGTTATTGTAACTTACATGTCAAAGTGTCAAGACAACCAATACTTAATATATATCAAAGAATATACATTATGATAATAAAAGCTTTAGGGGCTGGGGAGGTGGCTCAGTGGTAAAGTGCTTGCCTTGTATGCATGAGGCCCTGAGTTTGATTCCTCAGCACCACATAAGCAGAAAAAGCTGGAAGTGGTGCTATGGCTCAAGTGATAGAGTGGTAGCCTTGAGCTGAAGAGCAGAGGGACAGTGTCCAGGCCCAGAGTTCAGGCCCCATGACCAACCAAAAAAAAAAAAAAGAATTAAAAATAAATAAAAGCTTTATACCTGGGTATGTGATGGTGCACTCTAATAATCCCAGCACTCAGGAATCCAAAGCAGAAAGATCTCCAATTCAAGGTCAATCTGGGCTATATAGCAAGCTCCAGACCACCCTAGGTTACATAGTGAAACCCCTTTTTGGAAGAGAAGGAAGGAAGGAAAGAAGGAAAGAAGGAAGGAAGGAAGGAAGGAGGGAGGGAGGGAGGGAGGGAGGGAGGGAGGAAGGTTGGCTTCTGAAAGCTCTTTTATAACACATGCACATGACAGGACATCACAGATACTCTTATTTTAATCCTCCCTCAAAATGCTAAACACTGCAGCCACTTGGGATAATCCAAATTCCAACACTTAAGCACTTTCTGTTTGCCAAGTGCTTTGCTGGGTTCTAGAGTCCAAGGAAAACACAAATATTCACTATTCACTTCTGAAAATCACTTAAGCATGCTTATTGCCCATTAGACTTAAAATTCTTTCTTTCTTTCTTTCTTTCTTTCTTTCTTTCTTTCTTTCTTTCTTTCTTTCTTTCTTTCTTCCTTCCTTCCTCCCTCCCTCCCTCCATCCCTCTCTCTCTCTCTCTCTCTCTCTTTCTTTCTTTTTTCTTTCTTTGCTATGGTTACAGATTTATAACACTTGCTGAATGAATAAGTGAATGGGTGTATATCACATGAGTTATGCTTGCTGAACATCCGAGTGAACCCCTTTTTTGTGGGCTAAAGTACACATAATTTATGTTCACCAGCTTCTTTTAGGTCATTTATAGGTACTTGGAGGTTACTGAGAAGAAAGAGAGAGAGAAAGTTGAATGGCCAAGCCTGTGACCCTGCCCTGTTTCCCAGCCTGCCAAACTCAAGGAGACAAGAGCTCAAAGGAAATGTTATGCTTTCCTACCTGCCTACCTAATAGATGAGACCCTTTCTGGCTGGTTACTCCTTCTCTATCTCCATAAGGCTGCAGCTATGACACAGTATTATATCATGTATATATCTTTGTTTCACTGATGTTTTTACCTCCAAGGCCCTTCCTGGGCTTATCTCCTGCTTTTTACATATAAGCCAAGTTCTGAGGAAAGAGGAAAGAGGTATGTGATGCATTCTGAGAGGAAATCTGACCAAGTGTCTAAAGGAATTGTTTAGGATTATGTGGCTAAAGGATCTTCTAAAAATCTAACGGTGTTTTTGTTTTTCTTTGTTTTTGTTTTTGCTATTACTGTTGATTTGTTTGGTTTTGCTTTTTGAGGTCTAGTTGTGGGATCTTGTGCATGCTGAGCAAGTGTTCTAACTACTGAGCTACACTCCAGATTCCTAGAGCAATTTTAACTTTACCACTTGCTAGCAAGCATACAAACTCACAGTGTATTTTGTTTTGTTTTGTTTTGCCAGTCATAGGGCTTGAACTCAGGGCCTGGGCACTGTCCCTGAGCTTCTTTTTGCTCAAGTTTAGCACTCTACCACTTCAGCCACAGAACCACTTCCAGCCTTTTCTGTGTATGTGGTACTGAGGAATCAAACTCAGGGTTTCATGCATGCTAGGCAAGCACTCCACCACTGAGCCACATTCCCAGCCCTCACAGCATATTTTAAAATATCTGTGGGGACTGACAGGGTCATGTGAAAATGTTATCTAAATTTCACTGCCTACACACTCCCCTTAAAAATTTTCTAGGCAGTCAACCTGTCACATGTGTTGGAGAACTTTGTTGTGACTCCTTTGCCATTGGCTGTCCAATCCCATCTTGAAAAGCTGACATCTGTGTTAGGGATGCTTTTCCTTGGGGCTCCCAACACTGCCAAATCTTGGTTTAGCTTAAGCCAAATGTGGAAAGCTCTCTTCTTCCTGGCCCAGAATTCCACCCCTTTCTGGGACCCCCATAGCTTTTTCTGGGGACGTCAGCTTCCAGGGAGAACAAATATCTGGGCCTGGGAGGTTGCTAGCACTTTTGTCACATACCTTCCTGCCAGGATTGTGGCAGAAACTTTGGTTCAAATAATTTTAAAGTATGTTCTATTTAATGTTTAAGGAACATTTTCACTCCCAGGTAACCCAGCAAGTACAATAAAAAAAAAATCTTGTCTAAATTACAAGATCCTAATTTTATATGGAAGGTGGGGGAGTGGGCAAGGTTTGATAAACCCAGAGAGATACAGTAATCAAAGGGAATACCAGCAGTGAACATAAAAGTCTTCACTTGTGGCCCTCTGTTTTCTGGAGTAGGAAATGGTGAGATAAAGCAAAGTGGAAGGAAAGACTGTGTGAGGCAAAGAAGAGAGAAATTGGCAAACATCAGGTATATCAAAGAAAGATTCCAATTACGACAGAACAGTAGGGTTTTTATATGGCCACAATACTCCAGTAGAATGTGATATATTTATTCAGAAATGAGAAGTTGGGAAGAGTCACACGTTAATCGAGCCTGACTATAATTTGGTCTTTACAGCTTTCTATAATTACAGCTTCTATTCCATCTGTCTTTCTGCAGTTCGGTTCCAATACCAAAGGATATTCCTTACTTTAGAAGAGAAAGGGAACTGACACTGAGGAAAATTTTACAGGTGAGAGAGCCAGCCATTTCAAGTTTATTAACTTGGAAACTTCTAGCAAGAGAAGATTAATTTACCTTTTTTTTGTAAGCAGTTGATGTTATTAGCAATGGATATGAGAACAAAGGATACAAACACCTTAATTCTAGATAACTGCAGGCTACGATTTCCTTGGAAAAACCTGATATTTGAGATTTTATGGTTTCTTCATTTGTAATGTTAAAACTAGTTCTTTGTGTTTAGGTGCCCGAGTCGAAGCCGTTTGTAATTCAGGCAGATGTCATGCAGAGGGAGCTAGAGAGCTGCCTAAGAAGAGAGTACACCCCTGAAAACTTACCTTTGCTTTTGTTGCAGGTAAGAGTAATTGTGAAACTTGAATTTAATAGAAACCTGTAAACAAGTTAGCCTCATGGTATATTCTCTGTCCAGGGTAAATTCTTTTATACATGAGTAGTTTGTAGAACTTAGTGTGAATACTGTTCTTTATTAGAGCTTTATCATAGTTTAAAATCACTGAACACTTGACTTTTTACTGGTATTATGTAGCAATAGAATGTCGATGACAGTCCTAACCTTCCAAAGTTACTAGAGCATTTAAGGAAAGCAGTTCTGGGAATATTTTTAGGACAATAACTATAAACCAAATAGGTTTTTTTAGGGCTGGGAAGGTGGCTCAGTGGTAGAGCGCTTGCCTTGCATGCATGAGGCCCTGGGTTCGATTCCTCAGCACCATATAAGCAAAAAGAAAAAAGCCAGAAGTGGCACTGTGGCTCAAGTGGTAGAGCTAGCCTTGAGCTGAAGAGCTGAGGGACAGCACCCAAGCCCAGAGTTCAGGCCCCATGACCGGAACCCCCCAAAATATAGGTTTTTAAAAATAGTATTATTGCAATATTACAGTAAAATTTATTTTAAAAAATTACTTAGATATCTACCAATAAAGCAGTCAAGTAAAACAGTGAAAACAGTGCTGTACAGTTGGAACGGTAGAGCACAAGCCAATGAGCGAAAGCATCAAGTACCAAGATCAAGTATCAATTTTGGACCCCCACCCTCCAAAAAAACCCAAACAAAACAATGAAAACAATAAAACTTATTCTATCTACCTTTAAACATATTTTAGAGTAAAAATATTTTATGGAATATTAATTAAAATTTAATGTGTACTAGGGAGAGAAGTAGAGAGGGGACAAGGGAGAAAAAGAAAAAGAAGTAGAGAATGGTCCAAAATGTATAGAAGAATTACAATTATTATTTGGTGGTGGGATAATGAGTTTCCTCTTCCTACTTTTATATATTTTTCTAAAATGTATAAAATCGTATACTATTTCATTTTTAAAATTAAAAATAATTAAAATTCCTTGCTCCTGTTAAAACCATTTTGGAGTGTTTAGAATTACGGTGCTATCTCTCATCTGCCACACAAATTGGCTCTCTAACAACTAGTTAGCCATAAACTACTCCAAAGAAACAAAAGAAATTGAAATTCTATTTGCAAGTCAAATTTTTGCCATTGTCTTCATTTAGAATTCTCCCTCCCTATCATTTATTTTCTGACATTCTTTGTTTCTTTCTCTTTTTCTGGCATTTTTCATTCTTTGGGTTTATCAATGGTTCTCAGTAGAGAGACTGAGTGGAAAGATAGAATAGAGACATTGTTTCTAAGGGACACAGGACAGGATCTTTGTAGTTCTGGTCTCACAGTGTTTGTTGTTCTATAAAAAATATTTTCCTTTTATTTTAGAAAGCTATTTTTTGCTCAATACAATATTGTGAGCGGGTATTTTTTTTCCCCTTTCATTACTTTAAAAGTGTTTCTTCATTCTCTGGCTTGCAGACCTTCTATTCCTGAACATCTCTGACTATCTTTAAGCTATGCTTTTAACTATTTTGAGCAATATTGTTATGATATATTATTTATACTGTTATTATAATGTACATTTGTTGGGGTTTTCTTTGTGATTCTTTGTTTGGATTTGGTTGAACCCTAGGACTGTAGGTTTATTGTTTTGATTATGTTTTGAAACATTTCAATCATTATTTCTTCAGGTGATGGGAATTAGTGGTATAACTAAGCAGTATTTAGTATGCTCAAGGCCCTAATTTTGATCCCTAGCACTAAAACCTCATGTTTATTTATTTTTGTATGAATCCTATTTCTTTGGTATGAAAAGACATATATATATATATATATATTTGTGTGTATATGTATATATACATATATACACTTATGAATAAATGTATATATGAATATATAGATATATTTCTGTGCTATTCCAGGGGCTTGAAATCATGGCCTGAGCATTACTGTCCATAATTCTTTTTTGCTCAAAGCTATTGCTCTACCACTTGAGGCATAGCTTCACTTTCAGCTTTTTTCCTAGTAAATTGGAAATTAGTTTCTTACAGACTTTCCTGCCCAGGATGGCTTTGAATGAGATCCTTAGTTCTCAGCCTCTTCAGTAGCTAGAATTACAGGCATGAGCCATCAGCACCTGGCTTTTATTTCAACTTTTAATATAAAATTTTAAGCTCAATCCCTGAGTCCCTTCAGATCAAGGATAGCACACTACCACTTAAGCCATAGTACCACTTCCAGCCTTTTCTGTTTATGTGGTTCTGAGGAATTGAACCCAGGGCTTCATGCATGTGAGGCAAGCACTCTACCACTCAGCCATCTTCCTAGTCCTGACTTTTCATTTCTGTATTTTAAATCTTTCCTCTAGGGCTAGGAAAGTGGCTTAGTGATACCTAGCATGCATGAAGCCCTGGGTTCGATTCCTCAGCACCACATAAAAGGCCAGAAGTGGTACTGTAGCTCAAGTGGTAGAGCGCTAGCTTTCAGCACAAAAGCTCAGGGACAGTGCCCACGCCCTAAGTTCAAGCCCCAGGACTGTCAAAGAAAACACTTTGCTCTAGCCTACAGAAACAACAAAGCTTTTCTCCAAAAAGACTGTTCCCCAAATCTGTAGCCCCTAAGAGTTATACTCCTCCATACTTATTAAGGGTGTTAATATCTAGAGACTCTTTCAGTTTGTCTGCTTCCCTGTTCCTGAAACAATGCTAAAGCTGGGCTGGGTGCTGCTGGTCCATACCTGTAATCCTGGCTACTTAGGCTGAAATGTTTCAAAGCCAGCCCTGGCAGAAAACTCCATGATTCTTACCTCCAATAAATGACAGCCTTTTATATCATGAAAAAAAAATGTAAGCTCAATGTTCGACAATTTGATAGATCTTAATTTTACTGCTAAAAGCTGTTCAGTAACTAACAATCAAGTTTACAATATTACGTGACCAGAGAACATCAAGCTTTCAAAATATTTGACTTATTGATGGTGTTTTGAGCCAGACTTATTAATTTTATCCTCTTCATGTGGAAAATCACTTTTTTCCAGAAAGTATTTTCTTATTTCTAGTGTTCTTAAGTCTTCTTACCATAATTATATTCTAAATGCTTCTTTTTGTTGTTGTTAAAGTATTACACGGAGAGAAGTATGCAGCTGGTCCAGAGTAAATATTTACACATGCTTAGGTGGAGGAGGTTTTGCCAGCACAGTAAGACCATGGAACAACTGTATCCTCTTTACAAGGTATGAGGCCCAGGAACAGAACCTGAGGCTAATTTTTTTTAATGAAACAAAATGATTAATAAGCTTGTTTTTGTTGTTTTGGTGTCACTGGGGTTTGAACTCAGAATCTTGCGCTTTCTGGGCTGGTAAGACAGAAAACTACTACCTGTTCTGCCAGTATTCTTTTTTCTTTTTAATTCTTTCCTTTTTTTCCAATCCTAGAGCTTGAACTCAGGGCTTGGATGCTGTCTCTGAGCTTCTTTTTTTCAAGGCTTGCACTCTACTACTTGAGCCACAGCTCCACTTTTGCCTTTTTCTTTTGATAGTCTATTGGAGATAAGAGTCTCACCAACTTTCCTGACCAGGCTGGCTTCAAACTATAATCCTCAGAGCTCAGCCCTAAGTAGCTAGGATTACAAGTGTGAGCCACTGGAACCGGGTGAAAGTTTCCTAATGAGATTTGAAGGAAGTTTTACATGATAGTACAAGGATTTTCCTTTATAGATTGGCCTTCTCTAATATAAACAGAAAAGCTCAGAAGCTGATTCCAATTACTAAACGTCCTTAGACAAATGATTATATTTGGAGTATCTTTCCTTCAAAGTCCTAAAAACATGACCTTGTTCATCAAATTGAGAATATGGAACTTCAGGATTCCACAAATCTACTATTTGGCTCTCCAACAGCAATACCCCATGCTTGGAAGTAAATGATACAGGGAATAAGTCTTGACAATAATCAAGGTCTGTGTTGTATCTCTGTTAAATAGAAACAAGTCAGCTACATTCTTCAGGAATACAACGATGCGGTTCAGAGAGCAGAAAGATTATCTGTTGCTCGAGAAAACTTCCTTATGGGAAAAAACCACCCTCCTCATTTAGTGACGCAGGAAGATCTGACCATTTACACCAGGTGGCTAGTATGTCACCTACACTCCCTCAGGGCTATTCACCAGTACCTTCAAGTAAGTGAAATACAACTTATGTTCTGCTATGGTGCCCTCCAAGCTATGGCTAGCTATGTTGTTTTCTCACACTTGTTGCCTGGTTTTGGATTGCGACTGTCTATAATCTACCTGCCCTACAAACAATAGGATGTGTGGTTTGTTTTGTGGTTTGTTCAACTTCATAGTCACTCTATAAGTTCTTGGTTCTTGTTTTCATTACCTTCAGGATTTATGCTCTTCAGTTTAGATCCACTTGTTTATTCAGCATTTTCTAGTGGTCTACGTCCTAAAGACTTGTCCTAGGCCTAGCAGTGTCTTTGCTGCTAAGTAACTAGGTCTCAGGCTTCAGGAAAAGGGGCAAATAAATTTTATCTGCAATAAGATGCCATACCAAAAAGAAGACACTCAGGGAAGAACAGAATAATAGAGAGAGGCTCTAGTTCAGGGTTGGAGGATCATGAAGGAGTGACATGAAAGAGTAACACAATCATGTTTCTGTTTTAAGAGGTTATTCTTCATCTACCTAAATCTTTTCTCACTCCTTTTCCCTTCTGTCTCAGTGGCACTACTATTTCCTGGGTTCTCCAAACCAGAAATCTGGCCATCACCTGACTTTATCCCCTTCCTACCTGCAGTGAGTCACATGCTGGTATAAACATTTGCATATGAATCTGGGTCCTCCACTCAACTGAGAACTCCTGGAGGTTTTGGTCTAATTCTTCACGTTCTTGGCATGACATACAGTGCCTTGTCCATTTTGTGTGAATGGCCAACATAGACCTGGTTGAAGGTTCAGGTCACACAGAATTGATAAGAGCAGTAGATCTCCAAGCTCCAACCTTTATCAGTGGGCAGACCACTAAGGTTCCACTCCTTCCTTCCTCCTCTATGAGAATCAGGCTGATGTCATCAGGTTATGTTCTTCTTTAGACCCTCCAGTACTTACCCATCTCTAAAGTGCTGAGTCTCTCTGACAACAAAATCCCTGAAGTTGAGCAGGAAAATGAGGATGTCTGTGTCAATGACAGCAGCTCCAACCTCCAGGATTCTGCACCTCCTGACCCTAAGGATGCCAATGTTTCAGGTAAGAACTCCATTTCTTTCTGCTAAGCTAATATGGAGAAAAGAGGATTGTGATGTGGATATGCTGTTTTGTCCTATGATCTTCTTGAAACTTTTCTACCTACCAAAAAGTTATACCTTGTCAATAAAGTATTAATTTAATACCATGTAAACTTAATATTACTATTTCCTGAAAAATATAACTACTTCCTTTAGATACTGTGCATGTATGTGTGTGTATATCCATCTGTGTGTATGTGTGTGTGTGTGTGTGTGTGTGTGTGAGCCAGCACTGGAACTTAAACTTAGGACCTTGCACTCTTGCTTATCTTTACTGCTCAAAGCTAGTGCTCTACTACTGGAGCCAGAGCTCCACTTCTGACTTTTTGCTGGTTAGTTGAAATAAGAATCTCTCAGATTTATTGGCTTTGAACCCTGATTCTTGGATCTCAGCCTCCTGAGTAGCTAGGAATACAGACATGTGCTACATATACAGGCTCCTTTAGATAGTTTTAACTTTAAAACTTTAAAACTAGCAAATTAAGAGTCTGTGGAAAAGACTTGAAGCCAGCAGTTCTAGTATCTTTCTACTGTGGCTTCATCTGGGACCATATTTATCTCCTTGAGTCTCAGTTTAGTCATCTCCATAAAGAACCTTTCAGATTAAGTAATTTCTAAGTTTCCTTCCCCAGTTCTTGTTTTTGGTTTTCTTTTTTTGACGACAAAGTCTCACTATGTATATCCCAGTCTGGGCTCAAACTCCCCATCCTCCTACCTCAGCCTTCTCAGTGCTAGGATTTATAGGCATATGTTACCAGTTTTAATATCACACAATTCCAAAAGAATTTCCTCCTCAAAGCTAATTTCCTTTTAAAATCTGTTCATTGTTGCTTGGGATGTGTACAGTGTTACAGGAGCTCAAGGTATGACCTTGTCACCTAGAGAGGCAGCCAACTTCAATTGGGGGGACCTAGGAAGGTTTCATGGAGGGGAGGAGTTGGCCAGGTGAAAGTAAGCTGAAACTCTCACCATCTTTAACTTTGCTGGTTAATTTGTAAATAGTAGAATTCATGTACCAGAAAGGACTATGGGCAAGTCTGCTCTGTAGTAGGTCTGTTGTGTTTCTCTTGAAGGCTGAGGATAGTGAGGAGTCTTTGCACTCTCCCATAGAAAACACAGCCCCGAGGACTTGTTGCCATGTCTAGCCAGGTATAGCTCAGACTATAAAGTAGTGGCCCAGAAGGTTGGATAACAATGGTTTCCATCACAGAAGAGGGTCTACCTCTAGCCATCTTAATGGATACTCTGCCATCTTTCCCTTTGGTGTTTATTGATATTCATGCTCTTAAATTTGGATTTTTTTCAGGTCCAAAGAAGACACATACTGCTTTCAATTTACCCCAGCACACAACAGACACTCAAGAACTAAAACCTCAACTGGGGCTTCTGCTCTCCCATTTCTGCATTCCATATGACCTGCAGGAGCTAAAGGACTCTGCTAAGGAAATGGAGCTTTTTTCCTTGGTACTTGGTACACTCTTTCTTAATGCAAATATAAATGCCCATAAAAGAAAACACTAGCACTTGCCATCAAATTGCATATTTCTTCTGCCAACATTTGTTCTGACAGTATTAAGATCAAACAGTATTAAATGACATCTAGATTAGCAGTTAGGAGCAACTTCATTTCCGTGAGAGTAATAAGACTCTCCAATAGTGAACCCAGAGGGATTGTGGGATTTGTTTTTCTGTAGAATTTAAAGACGAGGGGAAGCTGGGGCGCAGGTGGCTCGCGCCTTAAACCTAGCTACTCACATGGCTGAGATCTGAGGATCGTGGTTCAAAGCTAGCCCGGGCAGGAAAGTCCGTGAGACTCTTATCTCCAATAAACCACTAGAGGAAGTGGCGCTGTGGCTCAAGAGATAGAGCGCTTGCCTTGAGCTGAAGAGCGCAGGGACAGCGCCCAAGCCCAGAGTACCCCACGACCGACCAAAAAAAAAAAGGGGGGGGGAGGATACAGTTTATAGGAAATGATACAAATGTAGCAAGATTTGACAAACTTTTATGTCAGGGTTGTCCTGCTTTGAAAGCCCTCTGATTTTCAGAATGTGGTGCAATAGCTCTCCTGATTGCCAAAACATTTTACATTCAGTCAAGCATACATTTTGTAGTGATGGTTAGTCATGAAATGTCTGCTAAAAACAATACTTCCTTAAGACAAAAACAAACAATACATTGTCAAACACTATGTTAAAATGTGTTGCGGAGGCTGGGAAGGTGGCTCAGTGGTAGAGCGCTTGCTTTGCATGCATGAGGCCCTGGGTTTGATTCCTCAGCACTACATAAGCAAAAAAAGAAAAAAGCCAGAAGTGGTGCTGTGGCTCAAGCGGTAGAGCGCTAGCCTTGATCTGAAGAGCTGAGGGACAGCGCCCAGGACCAGAGTTCAGGCCCCACCACCGGATCCCCCCCCAAAAAAAATGTGTTGCAAAGGGAAAGTTAGACTGTGAGTAGAGAACTTTAAATTTAAAGTAACATATTTTCACCAAGAAATTTAAAAAACCAAGACATTTTGCTAGCTCTGGGTATCTATCAAGTCAAACTTTGCAGGTATGCTAATCCAAGCAGGCACAGATCTAATCTGAAAGTTTCTGAATGTTCTTTACTAAGAAGAGCCACCATGTCCTCTATCAAAATGGTCTGACCTCAAAGCTCACTAGCCCATTGCTGTTTTTATCTTTCATTTTCTTCCTTTGTCTTTTAAGAGTTACAATAGGGAGCTTTAGCATTGAACTCTGACTTCTGATTTTTATACACGTATTATCTGAAATGTTCATTGTGTTCTTAAGGTGATCAATAGCATTACAATATTACAATGTCACTTTCTCTCTCTCTCTCTCTCTTTGTGTGTATATACAGTCTCTATATTTAGGCACTGTTTTTTCTAGCACTTTGATACTCTAGAGCAGGTTCAACCATCTCTAGTCTGCAATCACCACCTGTTTTTCCAAAATTAAATTTTATTAGAATACAACTGTCTTAAACTGCTTAAACTACTATGACAAAAATACCATAAATTGGGTGGCTTTGTAATAATTTATTTCTTGAAAAGCTTCTGGAGGTTGAGAATTCCACAATCAAAGAAGGTTTGCTTTATGGCCTTCTTGTTATATCTTTACTTGGTAGAAGGGCAAGAGTCTCTCTGGGACTTCTTTTACAGACCACAAATTCTATCTCTGAGAACTAAAAACTTCCCAAAAGAAGCCCCATCTCCTAATACCATCTCCTTGGGCATTAGGATTTCAACACATGGGTTTTATGAAAACATAAATTCTCAAAGCATAGCATGAGCCTGCTCATTCATTAATGTATTCTCAGTGGCAGTTGGAGCAGCTGCATTAGAGATTTTGTGGTCTATAAAGGGTAAAATATTTACTATCTCACTGTAAGTAACTAAGTTTATAGCCCAGCCCTCATCCAGCATCTCTCACTGAACTTCCTACCTTGGAGGATACATTTTGAGCCTGTTCTGGGCAGTATGTTAACCACTAGCCACACACTATAATGTTACACACTCGAAATGCAGCCAGTACAACTGTGAGAGTAAATTTTTGTGCTTTTAATTTTAATTAATTCATAATTCAATATGAAATAGATACATGTAATTAAGGACATTAGACAGCATAGACTCAGAATTTCCTGTGTTGTCTGGAAGGATTCTCAGCTCTGAAATTCCCAGAGGTCTTTGTTGAAGTCATACTGTGATTAGTATTGTTGAGGTCTTGCTGCATAGGTATGTGTATATTTACCATTTTAGTCATTTTAAGTATACAGTTCAGTTGCATAAAGAACACTGATACTACCCAGGCACTGATGGCTCAAACCTGTAAGTCTAGTTACTTATGAGGCTGAAATTAGAGGATCAAAGTTTGAGATCAGCCCAGGCAGAAATGTTTGCTAGGCTCAGTCTCCATGCATATAGTCCAGCAACTATATGCATGGCTCAGGTCGTAGTGTACCAACATCAAATGTGTAAATCCCTGAATTCCAAACTCACAAAAGAAGAAATAAAATAAGAAAATAAAAGAGAAAGAATATTTCCATTGTTGTACAGCCATGACCATATAGTGAGGAAATCATGCTGCAGTATGGCCTTATACAATGATTGAGATGCCAACACAGGCCCAGTGGACTGGGCTCCCTGTGGAGAAGGAAGGAGGAAATGGAAGTTCTATCACAGGAAACTCTGTGGCCTTAATCTGAAAGTGAGAATGAAGGGAATGCAGCAAGGTACTAAAAAAGCAACATTTTAGTCAGGCTTCTGAGAGTAGATTTACTTAACCCTTAGTTTGTCTTGTTTATTTTGTGGTCAGAAAGTATGAATAGATTTCCAAAGATAGACAATTAACTTTTTACTTGTATTTAGACTTCAGCTGAGAATACCCATAAGTAACCATGTCAATATATTCCCAGTCTTCGAGCAGATCTTCAGAATAAGCAACACATGCAGTGAAGGTAATTTGCTGCCTGAAAACATGAGCCACACAGGTCTGTCCAGTCCAATTACTCTCACAGAGTCCTACTTTTTGGCTTAGTTTGACTCCAGAGCTATTGCAAAGGTAAACAGTAGCTGTTTTAGAAGTCACCCGTAATCACATTTTTTTTTTGTGGGCTTTCCTTCTCTCTTCTTAATCTTGTTTAGGTTTGCCAGAAATTCCAAAGTATCTTTGTGGAACAACAAAAAATGCAAACATTTCCAGACTATGACGCTGGGATAGCCAAAGCAGAGAATTTGGGTTTGTCAAGACCTTCCATGGCCCTGAAAAAGAAAGCCAACTGGATTTCCTTTATAAAGGTAAGGGAGCTCTGGAGACAGTCACCTGGCAGTGATATTATCAGCATCACAGAAACTTCCCTCCCACCAGGCCAGTCAACCTGACAGTATCTGTCTATCTGTCCCTATTATTTACTACTCAATGCTCTTAGCAAATCCTCTTCTAGGACCATGGGGTTCCCACCTGTCCCCAGGGGAGTCTGCTCAGAAAACCTTGCCTGTGTGCTGGCACCTCCCTACACTTTGCCCCCTCAGCTCTGTGCTGGAGGTAGCCATGCTAAACTGTCTTCTCTAGAAGTTCTCTGGACGGATATCTACATCTCCATTCTATGGGTCCAGACTTCCTTCTCAGATACTGAGCAAGAATAAAAACGGATACTTAAACATGTAATTGATTTTTGTAAACCAAACTTTTTAGTTAAAATTTATTGGTTACATATAGCATGAGGCACAGCGAGTCCTGGAAGTACACCACTCACAAGCAATACCTGAGCAGCAATTCAGTGAGATGATGTTAGGTAGTGCTAAGTACAAACACTCTCATTTTTAGAGAAATTTATGTTCTAGAAAGTAATCAGAAAGCTGGGTGCCAGTAGGTTATGCCTGTAATCCTTAGCTACTCAGGAGTCTTAGATCTGAGGATCATGGTTCAAAGCCGGCCCAGGCAGAAAAGTCCATGAGACTCCAAAAAACTACTCAGAAAAAGCTAAAGTGGTGCTGTAGCTCAAGTGGTAGAGTGCTAGCCTTGAGTACAAAGAGACTCGGGGACATAGACCAGGCCCTGAGTTTAAGCCCCAGGACCAGCACAAAACAAAAAAAAAAAAAAAAAAAAGAAAAGAAAAAGAAAAAGAAAGGAAGGAAGGAAGGAAGGAAGGAAGGAAGGAAGGAAGGAAAGGAGGGAGGGAGGGAAGGAAGGAAGAAAGAAGGAGAAAAGAAGTCATCAGGAACACTTGTTTACCAGATACAGAGTTGTTGTCCCTATGGGAAATGCAAGGCTAGATTCCTACGAATCTCTGTTTACAACATTCTTCAATACAGAGCCTTGTTTCATGTGTCTACCTGTTTAGATACCTTATTTGATATGTATGGATTGTTGATTTGTGCACACTGAACTCATGGCCAATAGCATAAGAACTTAGGTGCAAGTGAAGTTCATGTAACATTTTTTTCTAAGAAGCATGCCATATCCTTCTTTGTACTCTGGACATTAGCCAACAGTTAGCGTTTGCTTATGTTTCATTTTAACAGTGAAATAACCAACAAAAAGCATGAAAAATGTGGCTCTAAGTAAATCACATTGATACAGCCCTTTAACAAAAAAAAGGAAGGCAAAGCGTTCAGTCTTAACTGAGAGAGGACTCATTGTTCACCACTCCATGTGTGTCCGTGAATGGCCATGGAAGTTCTACCAGTATTGAATTTGGTTCTCAATCCAATCCCTTCTGAGCAGTAAACTGAAAGAAAGGAGAGAAATCAATGGGGTTTAAGCAAATAAGGTGGTTAGTAGAGAAAGAGCCAGATTTTTCTGTTTTTTGACAGAAAAAATAATAATCTGTTTTTATCCTTGACATCCAAACATGGTTATCAGGAAGTAATTGGGTATATAGCAGGCTAGAAAGTAAGGCTGAGGCAGAAATTCAAGGGTTTAAGAAATGTACTCGGGGCTGGGAAGGTGGCTCAGTGGTAGAGCACTTGCCTTGCATGCATGAGGCCCTGGGTTCGATTCCTCAGCACCACGTAAGCCGGAAAAAAAAAAAAGCCGCAAGTGGCACTGTGGCTCAAATGGTAGAGTGATTGCCTTGAACTGAAGAATTGAGGGACAGTGCCCAGGCCCAGAGTTCAGGCCCCACAACCGGACCCCCCCCAAAAAAAAGAAATGTACTCGTTATCTTGCCCATGTAATTGTAACTCCTCGGTATGGTATTCTCACAATAAAAAAAAGAAATCCAAGGGTTACCAGCATATTGATGGTATTTACAACCACAGAACTATTTTTTGAAATACAATGTGTTAATATGGAAGATGAAGCATCAGATGTAGCCCCATCGGAGTCTGTGGGTGGAATCTCTTTCTTTTGCTCCAAGAGTAAGGTGCAGTGTGCAAGCTGATAAGGTTAGGGTGCCTCCTTCTCACAGATCCTCTCACAGATAGCGCTTCTACATCAGCCAGGCCAAATACTAACACGAACTGCTGTCTTCTTCCATGGACCTTTGATCACATGCAGAGTCTTTCCAAAGCCTCACTCCATTACAGATGCCAGGCAGTACATAGGAGCTCCTTTTTGTTTGTGACTTTTGTAGAGAACCATTCTGTTAGGCTGTAACTTTCTTTGTCTACTAGATCAAGCCAAAATGTGATCCTTGGCAAAAGAAACTGTTGACTAAACTAAAGGATTGGAGAAGAATAGATGTACTAATGCAACTCCAAGCAAAGTTCTTGAAGGTAAGAAAATAACCATATTCTTGCTAAAAAATAATCTTTTTTAAAAAAGGAATATTCTTCCCTATTTATTTTGCTATTTCACTATGAAAAATTTTATTTGGAAAACAGGCATCAGTGGTTAATGCCTGTAGTCCTAGTTACTCAGAGAGGCTGAGGTGTGAATGATTAGAAGTTGAAGCCAGGGCAGAAAAGTCAGCTAGACTCCATTTCCAATTAACTAGCAAAGCTGGAGGTATGGGTCAAGCAAGCAAGCAAATGGGAAACTCTGAGTTCAAACCTTAGGACTGAGAAAAATAAATTTAAAACATTGAATTTTATAATCTAATTTAAATTAAATTAAATTTCAGTCTTTTATGGGTGAATAGTTTTAAAAGAAAAAGTTAAATGAAAGTTTCTTGCTTGCTCTAAAGTCAATTAACTTGTGATTTCACCTATGGGGATTGTCACAGAAATTTGAAAGAGATGCTATGTATATTTGAAAACTTATGATGATGAATGGATGAACATTTGGGTACTCATGATGTTGGAGTGCAGTTTTATTTTTAAATGAATAAGGTCCCACTTAGGGCTTCCTTCTTGCCTGTATGTATATGACTAAATTCTTGCTGAGGAGAAGGAAATCATGCTTCTAATAACTATTTCCTTTCCTTTCTGTTCTCTCTGAGATCTCTGACGCCAAGCGTGTAATGCAAGTGCTCCAGACTCATGCTGCAAAGACAGTTACACTGGCTTCACAGCACCTATCTTCCGTGCCTTCCCAGGGTTTACATCAGAGCAACTATGACCACATCTGGGAGAATATTTATAACAATATCAACCTCTATCAGGTACAGCAGAAAGACAAAACAAATACCTTTCTGTTATACTGAACATCTGGGTGCAATCCTTGGAACTTCACATGGAAAATTTTTTTTCAAGATACTCCCATTAAAAGCTCTATTATCGCTGGGCGCTGGTGGCTCACGCCTGTAATCCTAGCTACTCAGGAGGCTGAGATCTGAGGATCGAGGTTCAAAGCCAGCCCGGGCTGGAGAGACCGTGAGACTCCTATCTCCAATAAACCACCAGAAAGCCGGAAGTGGCGCTGTAGCTCAAGTGGTAGAGCGCTAGCCTTGAGCTGAAGAGCTGAGGGACAGTGCCCAGGCCCAGAGTTCAAGACCCATAACTGACCAAAAAAAAAAAAAGCTCTATTATCTTGCCAGGTTTATTTATATTTTTATAGTAAGCAATATTAAGTGCAAAACAAAAAGAGGATAGATAGTAGGACTATCCTCACAGGGATAGTCCTACTTGGAAAAACATCTTAAAGAACAAGGAATTGAGCCAGGCTTAAAGTAAGAAAAGGATTTTAGTCAGCAGTGGAAAGGAAAATATGGAACATATTTTAGGAGGAATAGTAGAGGAGATGCTATGTATGACACAGTTTGGATGGGTGGATGATTCTTGTAGAAATACAGTGAAACCTGGTGCTTTTTTAAGTAGAAGGGGGAGATAGGTTGCAAGTGCTCATTAATTTGAGACTAACCACTAATTATATTCTATGTATATATATATATATATATATATATATATATATATATATACACATAGAATAAGGCTCTTATGTCAACAAGGAGAAGTTTTATTTTATTTTTTACTCTCTTTAAGTAGTTGTATAAAGGGGTTTTAATTCAACATTTTCAGTTTATCAGTACAATGAATCTTGATCAATATCATCATTCTCTCCCATCTCTCCACATCTGACTTTCTTCTTTTTTTCTCCCTTTCTTTCCTCGTCCTCCTCCTTCTTCTTCTCCTCCTCTTTCTCTTCCTCCTCCTCCTCCTCTTCGTCTTCGTCATTGTTGTCTTTTTCTTTTCTCTGCTTCTCCTTCCTCTCTTCTTCTTCTCCTTCTTCTCCTCCTCCTTTCTTCTTCTTCTCCTCCTTCTTCTTCCTCCTCCTCTTCCTCCTCCCCTCAAACATTCAGTTCTCCTGCCTCAGCCTTCTGAGTGCTGGGACTACAAGCATATACTACTACATCTGGCTCTCCTGCTTCTTGAACCAGACTGAATGGGTGAAGTTGGTGGAGAAGTAAGGAGGGGCAAGGAAGAGTAAGATCCAGGTATCTGTGAACAACATCTCTGTGTCTCAGGTCCTAAACAGTTCAGCTCTGATTCTGATATAATAATAGATTTTGTATATTAGCATCTATATCTATATCTATTTGTGGCCATCAATACAAAGCTTTTTCCCACACTGGCTGAGAGAACAGGAGGAGTTTAAATTCCTGCAGGTCTAGTAGGACTAAAGGAGGGAACTAAGAGTGAGGGGAAAGTGGGAGGCAAAGGAACATAGAGTCAGATAAGTAGCTTCTTGCTTGGAATCTTGCAGAAGTGTTAAGGTCAACAGATGAGTGAGTTTGGCAGTGGCCCATGGACATTTAGCAGGCAGAAAAGGGGATCTCTGTGCCAGGAACTTCAGAGTGTTCACAATGAGAGAAGATAATGGCTTGGCTAAGTGTTGAGTATCATAAAACTCCAAGTTATGGTAATAGCATGAGAAGCCATGATGAGAATGGAGTCAGGGTGGGGCCTGCCTTCCTCTCACTAGTACACAGTGCAGGGAGAGCCAACAGTTCTTATCTCTGTTACTGCTTCCTATCACTGGCAGAGGGAATGGAAAGTCAGGCATGATGGGATGCAAGTCTGCCTTTATCAAAGCTGTGTGGAAGACGGCTGCCCAAATGTACAGAGAAAGAAAGAAAAAGAAGGAAGGAAGGAAGGAAGGAAGGAAGGAAGGAAAAGGGAAAGAAAGAAGGAAAAATCATTTTTTCTGGCTACTTTTTTTTGACATATATGCTTTTCCCCTTAACCAAGAGGAGATAAATAAGAGCACTGTATATTCAAGTTTATTTACAGTAAATAAGATTATAAAGACACTTAGAAAATCTGTGTATTTCAAGATTTCAGAGTGAGACATGAGGGAGATCTCTCTCTCTCTCTCTCTCTCTCTCTCTCTCTCTCTCACACACACACACACACACACACACACCACTCTTTTTTTTTCATTCATTCCTTCACATTGAGTGATTCTTACATGGAACTGTTCTTGGCTTTGAGGGTGAAACATCCAGTCCTTGTCCCTGGGAACAACATACAATAAATACATCATCAGAAGTAAGTCTGCATATCTAACTTCTAAGTGCCATGAAGAAAGCTACTGGGCCAAGAACAGTGGGTGGGGAGAGGCACATTCTGCTAAAGATCAGCCAGCATCTTTTGGTGGGTATGGATACAGCATTTGTCTGGCCACAGAAACAGCCTATACAAGAGCCTTTAAGCAGAGAACAGAAAAGAGCACTGGATTTAAGAAAGAAAATTCTGAGGTAACAGCCAACATTTTCTCCACATTCCTTTACATTTTTCCTGAGTGCTAATCTGTGACCCCCTCAAGTATTTCTGTCTTTCTGAGTGCTGAATATGAGTCAGATGCGATTAAGATTAAAGAAGGTACATGGAAGGTTGGAGGAGTGGGATTGAGAAGGAATCTTAGAGCTCTGTTCCTGTTTTTCAAGCATGTAGCAGTCAAATACAAACTTTAGCATGTGCATGCTGCTCGGCATTCTGAATCCAAAGTTGGCAAGGTGGCGATTAATACCCCATGACAAATAACTTTATTAAGGACCTGCTGCATGAAGGAAGGCACATCTCATGGCACTGTCCATTTTGACAGCTAGGAGAGACTGTAATCGTTCACTGTAGTATAAGCTCAAAACAGCTTCTGATCAGTTCTTCTCAGTGCATGCTGTTCACCAGTAACCTCTCCTTAGGGTTTTCATTTTTTGACTAAGAAGTTTAATTATAGTGTGAGATTTACAGAAAAGCCATACAGATAGTTACAAAGAGCCTTCTGTATATTCTTCACCCAGTTTCTCTGGTTATCAACATCTTACATTATTGTGAGTCATGTATCGTGCCTAAGGAAATCAATGTTAGTACATTGCTGTTAACGAAATGACTTCTCTTCCATCCATTGTTGCATTAAAGTTGTCTTTCTGCTCCAATAATCCTCCCAGGGCACCACCTTTCACTATCCCCTGGTCTGTGGTAGTTTCTCAATCTTCCCTTGTTTGTTTAACAGTCTTTATTAAGCATTCTAGCCAGACAAATTGTACAAAGACCTTTAATTTAAATTAATCTGATGTTTGCCTCCATGCTACACTAGGTGTGTAAGCTGAGGTAAACAAGAATACCACAGAGATAAAAATGGCCCTTGCACTTCGACATGGCATCAATATGACTCCTCACTAGCCATGTGAATTTGTTCACTTACTTAAGTTAGTGGTCTTGGCCAGGTTTCTTCAATGTAATTGCCATTTTTCTCCTTAAAGCATTAAAAATTAGCTTTAAGCTATATAACACATACATTTTTCTCCTTGTAGAAAATTCAAGCATAAGTGAAAAACTATTTCTCCTTGGCTGCTCTATTCTCTAGTTCTGGCCCCCATTCCATCCTTAGTGATAAATTCTATTATTGCTTTCTGCCTTTTCAAATGCACTTATATGCCTACATATTTTGTGTTTTACTTTTCTATATTAACAACATGTCACACCATGTGGACACATTCCTAATACTGCATCCAGGCTACAGCATCAGGGAACACTGGTGGAACCCCTTTCTTTGATCTTCTTAGTGACTCTGATATACAAGAAGTTTAGGAAAATAAGTAATACCCCTTTCCTGGCACTCTTCATGAAATTCAACAGATAATCTTTTTTGTTTTTGTATGTGTGTGTGCTAGTCCTATGGCTTGGACTTAGGGCCTGAGTGCTCACCCTGAGCTTTTGTGCTCATAGCTAGCACCATTGAGCCATAGCTACACTTTTGGCTTTTTGGTGGTTAATGGGAGATAAGAATCTCATAGACTTTCCTTCTTGGGCTGGCTTCGAACCATTATCCTTAGATCTCAGCCTTCTGAGTAGCTAGGATTACAGGTATAAGCCACCTGTGCCTCACTTCAAAAAATCTATTTAAAAATTATTATTACTGTGTAGTTGTACAAAGGGGTTACAATTCTATAAGTCAGGTTATGAGTACAATGCTTCTTGGTCAGCATCACCCCTACCCTTGTTCTTCTCCATTTCCCCCTTCTGTCCTACACTCAAGTTACATGGCTCATTTTTTACATAATGTACATTCAATATGATGATTACGTTTGCTCACCCTTCCTCCTTCCACTCCCATAATCCCCTTACCCTCCCCCTCAAAACATGATTCTACTTCCTAATACTTGTTTCAGAAAATCTCTTTTTAAAAGCAAATATTTTTTAATGACAATAGCAGCATGAATTTACCATAAAAAATGAAAATAAAAAAGCACAAGGAAGAAAATAAAAATCACCCAGTATTATACCATTTAAAATGTTCTGTATATATACTTCTAATTGTGTATGTATATGTATATTTCTGTGGATAAGTCTGCATAAGTTGCAGAGACATTCTGGTGATGGGAAAAATAGATAAAAGATTCAATTTTCCTATAATTATTTTTTCCCATTCTACTTCCCTATTCACTATCTCTTCCAACTTTCCAGAAAGAAATAACCTTTACAATTGATGGAAATCTCATAATTCAATATACATTATTTTTGGGGGGGCATACTGGGAAACATCTAGCCACAAGCAGGGTAAAGATAAAAAAATTTTATCTATCCAGGACCACAGATCCCATAAAGAGGTGTTGGCATTCTGGATTCTGGGTAACTTTGCTAATCACCTGCTTACCTGGACCATTTTCTCTTCCTGATGGGAATACTGTCCCAGGCTTTGTAATTCTGAAGCAGTTTCCCCTCATGAGCTGTGGTTGGGTCTCCTTTCCTGGAGGATGTTAGGCTATTTCCTTCTCCTATCTCAGCATGCTATGCCCCTTTCTCTCTTCATCAGAGTCTGCTAGTCAGAACATTTGTGGTTTGTTCAATCATTCTCTCAAATCTCTTTCACTGTAACTTGACATCATTTTCTGTTCTTTCCTATATAATTCTGGGTAATTTTAGAAACAGCCGAAAAAGTCACAGTCCTATCAGAAAAAGGATGTGGCTCAAACTCTCCTTTTGGAACAAGGGGTAGTATTGTACCTGCAGCCTAAACATACCACAGGCCCAAGAGATGAAATTCACACCAATTATCAAACCTCAGCCTCCCTGTTGGAGTCTACAGCTTTTTTTGATACAGGTTTTCTTCACTTTGGGATATTTGTTTCTATTTTTCAAAACTAGAGTTTCCTATGTCACTTCCACATGTCAGTTCCTATCCTACAGTTATGTCACACATACAAAGAAATGCACTGACTTGGTATAGACAGGAGCTATCTCAGCTTAGACAGAATGGGCAGCTTCCTCATGATAACCAACATAATCTTTCACCTATTCTTCCTGACAGCCCTGTCAAAATTTCCCTTCCCTACTGCCTGTCATAAGACCTGGTATTCTATCTTTAGGCCCTTGGGAATTATATTAGTTAAAGTTATGGTTAAACAACATGACAAAGAATTAAAGAAACTGGAAATTTATCTTCTCTTCCCCAACCCCCATACTTAGATGAACTACTAGAGGTGAGAGGTATGGAGCTGGTGTGGCAGCTGCTCCAAGAAGTCCTCAGACAGTAGAGCTCTGTTGGCCCTAAAGTTTCAACAAATGTGACAGACCACATGGTCTGTCACAGACCATGTTCTAAGCAGTAGGCTAGAGAATTGAGGTTGGGGAAGCTGCCTCCTCAAAGATATTTCCTAAAGCATCAGCTTGGTATTTTGTACCCTACTCTTTTAGTCATATGGCTATACCTATCTGTAGAAGAAGCTTGGAATGTCATCTTTATCTGAGTGTCCAAGTGCAAAGATAAATATTCAATTACTATAGGAAAAGAAGAAAATGACTATTAGGAAATGTGCAGAAGTTTCTACCAAAAGACTTGTTGCGATTTCAAGAACCAACTGTTATACTATAAGTAACCCAGAGAGCAGGTATCCAAATAGTCATTGCCACGTAGTGCTATTCTGGGGGTCTTATTCCCCTAAGCTCATTTTGTAAGAACAGAGTGCATGTCCAGGGATTTGCAAACAAGACAACTAAAAGAGGCTTCAGAGAGGGCTGGGACAGGACCACAGGCAACATCATCTTCTTCATTGTTACCCCTGGACCCTGATGCAAAACCACATCCTTCTCAGCATCAGGAAAGATGACTGTATGAATTAATTGTGAACCATTAATTTCATGGAGATCCTATGGGGGTGATGGAGAGCTGATATTCATGGAGGAGAATGCTAGTGCCTTGAGCACATGTTATATACATCTGATCACTGGATTCTCACAGCAAGTTATCATTTCCCATGATTATGCCATTTTACCAATGTAGAGACAGGATCCAGACTTTAAATGACTGAATTATATGGCTAATGTGTAGAGAGAGGTTTGAAATCCATTGACCTCTTAGTGTAGATCAAGACTAGATTAGAGAGGTTCAAGGTTCCAAGCATACATGGTCTTAAAAAGAAAGTGTGTATCAACTTTTTGTAAAATGAATCATAAGAGGTAAAGAGTGGGATATCCAACTTCTATTTAATAGTGAATTTTCATACAACAAAGTCTTGCTTAGTAAATACAACGCCCCCTTTGATTTATTATAGAAACCTACTGACTATTGCTTTGTTAATAACATTAAAGATGCTCATGTAATTGAACTAATGCTATTTTTTGATAGAATGAAAATATGAAGGATGATAACCTTTCAATGGAAGGAAATGAAAATGGTCTTGCACAATTAAGTCTTAGCCAACACGCTGATGGATTTCTCAAGCAGAAAAAAGAGACAAGGTAAAATTAAATCATTTTATTGATGACTCAAGAAATTAGATGGAATTTTAAAAGTGTGAAGAAAATTGAGTGACTGAAGAATATGCAGCTTACATTTTAAAGTGAAATTAGTTCAAGTCAAAATGAAAGTAAAACTTCAAATAGGTCAGACAAACAAATTAATATGACAGGACTATGTCTTTAGTGAGAGTAATTTCTAGGATACATTTCTTCATAGACATATTGAGTATTTTTTTTTCCTGCCAGGGTATTTTTTCAAGGCAGCCATTACAAATTTCCCTTATAGTAAATACAGAGACTTCATTGTGATGTATGTGAATTTTCTGAACTTCTTTGAGGTGAAGGGTGCTTTGTATCTGCATGCTACAGGTACAACTATGCAATGACCCTACAACTGCTGGGCTTGGATGATGGGAATGACTCCAGTGACAGAAATTTTGTCCTGATGAGAGGAGCCTACTTGTCTTTGCTGTGTCTGCGCCATCTGCGAATCCGGAAACTACAGGTATATGGGTGGCCAATACTTGCTTTTCTCTTTATTCTGATTTTTTTTGTTATAAAATCAACCCCTTTGTGGGATGATGTGATCCTTTTCTTCACAGAAGGGTTGATTTTCTACTGGATGCTCCCATCCAGCTTTCTTCTTTTGGGTAGGATGAGGCAAAAGGCAGGGACATGATTCCATTCTTTCTTTATTACAGCGCATATGCCTAGGAGTTCTGAACTATTTCAGATCAGTTGAGAGAACTTTGGCACTCGATACTTCAGGCTTCACCCCGGGTTCAGGGAACCTGGTCTCCATGGTAGAAGATAATTCATGGGTAACAGTGACTAAAGAAGGCTTGAGCACCTTTCAAGGCTTAGGAGCCCAATACCATGTCCATAGGATACCTACAGAGCCCAAGGTGAGCTATTCTCCTTCCTTCCTTCATTATCCATGTCCCAAGAAACTTTGTTTTTAGAAATCAGTTACAAGGAATACTCTTAGGAAAATGTAAGTTGGTTTAGCCACTATGGAAATGAGTTATACAGATTCCTCAAAAAATTAGTAGAATTGCCTTATTACCTTTCTATACCATTCATGGGCATATGCCCAAAGAACTGTAAATCAACATTTCAGAGAAATGGCTCCACACCCATGTTACTGTGGTACTATATAATCAGCCTAGATACCCAACATACGATGAATGGGTAAAGGAAAGGGGACATATTATATATAATGATAGATATATATATATAATGTGAAATATATCTATTAGAGCATTATTCTGTCACAAAGAATAAAGTTATATCATTTGCCAGAAAATGGATAGAACAGGAAATCATCATTTTGAGCAAGATAAATGAAGTTCAAAAGGCTAAATATATTTTGTTCATATGTAGAATATAGGCCTAAACAAATAATAATAATAGTTGTAATAATAATAGTAACAACAATAATTATGAAGATAAGGAAACAAACTAAATACTGTCTAGAAAGAAGAAAAGGGGAGTTAAGAGTATAAAGAGGGGGTGAATATGATCATGGTATATTGTATACATCTATGAAAATACAATTAAAACAATTTGTACAATTCTTTTACACTAATTAAAATTACATTTTCTCTCATATGTGGAATCTAGATTTTTTTATACAAGGATGTAGACATAGAAAGATGGCTATATGAGAAGAGGAAGGAGACTAGCAAAAGGGGCAAAAAGAAGAGAGGGGAATAGGTGTGAGGTGGAGAATATGATGGAGGTACATTATGTGTCTGTCTGAAACATTCCAGTGAAGCCCATAATTTTGTAAGACTAATATATGCCAAAAGTAGAAAAAAGCAGTAGTAAAAATGACTTTCTCACCAGTGTCATCTTGAGAGAAGCTCTGGAGGTCACAGTGGGAAGGGAAGCTCTTAGATTTCTGACTTGGTAGTAAATAGGGACTCTGCTACTTTTCCTGGTCAGAGAATCAGGTGTCCTTATAAAGAAGCTCCTTTGGATTCTTCTTGCTGTTCTAGAGGTCCTTTTTTTTTTTTTTTTGTCGGTTGTGGGGCCTGAACTCTGGGCCTGGACACTACCATTCAGCTCTTCAGCTCAAGGCTAGCACTCTACCACTTGAGCCACAACACCACTTCTGGCTTTTTCTGCTTATGTGGCGCTGAGGAATCAAACCCAGGGCCTCATGCATGCAAGGCAAGCACTCTACCACTGAGCCACCTTCTCAGCCCCCTAGAGTTCCCTTTTTGTCCCCCACCCCACCCCCATTTTTTTTTCCAGAGCTGAGGATTGAACTCAGGACATTTGCCAGGCAACTGTGCTTGCACTGAGCTAAATCCTCAACCCCGTTTTTCTTGTTTTCTAAGCCCCAGAGGAAAAAATAAAACAAAAGTAGAAAGAAGCAAGAAAAAGGTTAACAACAGCAAAACAAGCTTAACAGGCATGTATAGCTGGAGGCTGCTGTATTCAGATCTAGATATTGGAAATACCTTCCCCACCAGTTACCTAGAGCCCTGCTTTCACTCTGTGCTGTCCAGGACAGAAGTGTCTTCTTTTGGATCTCCTTCTCTAAAACATATCCTGAAACCATTGTCCCCTCATTACATACAGACTTCCTTTCTGCTCCCCCACCCTTTTGACCTCCTCTCCTGATCCTTGCCAGTCAGGCTCAGTGGACCTAGGGAGGAGCGCTGAGATACTTACAACAAACATGTATGTAAGACACACATATTTCTCTTAGTAATTTTGATCTTACCCCAGCTATGATACGTTATTATACTAATAGAATTTTATTTTATTTTATTTTGGTCCGGTTGTGGGGCCTGAACTCTGGGCCTGGGCACTGTCCCTCAGCTCTTCAGCTCAAGGCTAGCGCTCTACCACTTGAGCCACAGCGCCACTTCCGGCTTTTTCCTTTTTGCTTATGTGGTGCTGAGGAATCGAACCTAGGGCCTTAGGCATGCAAGGCAAGTGCTCTACCATTGAGCCACCTTCCCAGCCCACTAATAGAATTTTAAAACAATTCTTACCAAAGAACTCTCTCCCCATTTGTTTGTTCTGAAGTGGGTATGGGAAGTAAAACTACAGTGGGATGGGGAGGAGCAAATCCTAACCTGACCCATGGATTGTAGAAGGAGCGCTTCCAGGCCATGTGCTATGTCTTTTCTAGTCTTTCATACATGATAAGAACAATGTCCTCCTTATCTAGCAGCTAGCAGCTGCTATTACTCTAGTTAGACTGAGACATTCAAAACAGTGGCCTTCTGGCAGTCTTCAGTAGGACCAGGTGGTTTAGCTATCTGCCATGCATGTGGCCTTGTCATCATTTACATGGGGGCATCCAGCCCTGGATGGTGTGATTCTTTCCCATGTAGAAGAAAGAGCAGCACAAATGCTGTTTGATTAAGCTGATCTCACCAGGCCAGGTTCAAGGCTGGTAGGACCAAGACCTCTGGAAGCACCAAGCATAGGAGAAGCTTCTAAGATGAAGACCCCTTCCTTGGTGCTTTCCCTTGGCCCAGCATATTTGATCCCATGAGAAAAGTCTTAGGTGAATATTAACAACTATTCACTGAACAGCAATACCAGAAAGAAAAAAAAGATGACACAGATACTTTGCCAGTTTAGGAAATACAAATAGCGGGGTAAAAGAGTCCCACAGGAGAGGCAGTAGGCTTTTTCTGGGTGTTTGTCCCCAGGCGTGGAAGCTTCAGAGCCTGTAGTGAGTTCCAAATGTGCAGGTGTGGTTTGCTGGTAACTAAGAGGCTGTTGGGAGAAAGTACAAAGAAGAGTGGCCAGGCTGCGAAGGGTCAGGCTCTCCTGAGTTTGTGGGATCAGTTCCTAGGATGGGGGAACAGGGAAGAATTTTAAGTAGAATCCCTCTCTCTCTCTCTCTCTCCTCTCTCTCTCTGTCTGTCTCTGTCTCTCTCTCTCTCTCCATCTCTCTCTCTGTCTCTCTCTCCCTCTCCACCACACCTCTTTCCATGACTTAGTACATTTCTCTGGGGTCTTTGCCCAAATGTAATCATGCTATTCCCTTGCTGGAAGTCCATCACAAATTTCCTGTTTCTCACAGGATAAAGTCCAATCTTCTTGATGACGATTACAAGTCAGCACAATCTGGCCCCTGCCAGCCTCTTGGACCTCATCCTCCTCCTTTTCTCTATACTTCCATCCTATGGAGCAGGGCCTGAGTCTCTGAATGGGTGCAGTTGTTTTCTCCCTGGAAGGCCTTCTTGACATCTCTATGCAGAACCAAGTCCCTCACCTCATCACTTGTCTACCTTCATCATAGTCCTCAGCAGGTGTCTATACTTGACTATTTGTGTACCTGCTCCCATAGTCTGTGAGCTTATCATTCATTCATTTATCTATTCATTCATTCATTTACTCCACGAATTATTCTAGTAAATATACTAGGTATTGGGGAACAAAACTGGAACAAATTCCTCCATCATGGGACTTATCTTCTAGAGAGAAAGGGACATTAAGCAATTGAATAAGGAACATATATAGAATGTTGGGTGGTTTGGTGCCAAGATATTCCCAGAATTCCTAGCCTCTGCAATCAAGGGGGCATTATGACTAGCTTTGGCTAGTGGGCTGTGAGCAGAACTGACATGTGTCAGTGTCAGTCCAAAGCACATGGGGACTGGCTCACACCTTCTGGCTTTCTTCCTCTGTCTCAGGCAGTGGAAGGCACACATAGAAGTGGTTCAATCACAAGATGGAAACATTCTGGATCCCTGGGTCACTGCATAAAGATGGCAGCCTGGATAGCAACTGGTTCCGCAGTGGGCTCTGCGTGAGCAAGAAACTTAGTAGTCCATTGAATTTGGGGACTGCTTTTCATGGAATAATATATCTTTGTGGACTAAGAAAAATGGTAATAGGTGCTGTGGAAGATCAAGTAGGGAAAGAGTGCCCAAGGTGTGAGATGGGACATTGCTGTTGGCAGTAGGCAGTGGTGAATGCCTCACAGGAAAGGTACTATTTGAGTAAACATCTGAAGGAAAGTAGGAAGTGAATCAGGTGACTAACTGGAAGAAGAGCACCAGACAGAGAAAGGACCAGTGCAAAGACCCTGAGGCAGAACAAGTCTGGCAAATTAAAGGAACAAGGAAGAGTTCCTTATAACTAGAATAGCTCATGAGCAAAGTGGTAAGCAGTGAGGATAGAAAGATGGAAGATACTCTTTACCTATAGCCTTGTGGACCACTGTGAGGACCTTGGGGCTGGAGGAGATCCCTTGAAAAGTTTTCAACAAAACTTTCATTTTAATTGTCATGCCCCTGTAGTGGACACAGACAGAAGATACTACAGCGATAATATAGGGTGTCCAGTTAAGAGATTGTATCTGAAAAGAAAAAAAAAAAACAGTGGAGTGAGAATGGTCAGATTCTAAATATACAATCATGTGTTATATAGCTACATGTGGTCAAGAATGGACCACATCCATATGGTGCTCTCATAAGATTATTATTATTACAAGATACAAAGTGTTTTGTAACACTGTAGCCTTGATAATGATGAAACACAGCGCGTTACTTATATGGGTATAGTGGTGCAAACAAACCTGATTAGGTGTGTGTAGACACACAAGTACTTATGATTCTGTCATAATTGCCTGGAGAGTTCAGTAGAGTAACATGCTATACAAGTTTGAGTAGATTTCTGATGGTGATCAGAATCTCAATTTAGGACACAGAAAACCTTGTACTTGATAGATGTTCAAGTGGCAAGAAAATGTAGAATTAGATATATGTTTTCACATAGTAGGTATTTAATAAATGTTTATTTGACTAGAGAAAAGCTCAGCTCTAACAGAATAGTTGTAAGGTTATAAACAGATCATACGTGAAAGTGTTTTGTGAACTATAACATACTGTTCAAATGAAGAACAATTAGCTAAAATAATAATATTATAATTTCTGAACTAGGATAAAAAGTAGAGTAAAAGATGTCTTTGATTTGCTTTTTAAAAGATCAGAGCTAGCCAAGTCCAGAAAGTCCATGAGACTCTTATCTCTAATTAACCACTAAAAAGCTATAAGTGGAGCTATGGCTCAAGTGGTAGAATGCTATCCTTGATCAAATCAGCTCAGGGACTGCACCCAGACCCTGAGTTCAAGCCCCAAGACTGGCGCACACACACACACACACACACACACACATACACACAATCAGGGCCAAATGGTTGAGTCATTTACCAAACAACTTGGATTGGATCTTGGGCTGACTACTGTTATAGTCAGGTAAGATTGTCTATATTGCCAAAAGACCTAAAATTCACATTAATGAGTAGTGGCAGAGTCCCTAGGGAGGAAAATCAACAACAGGCAAACAGTTTTTACATAGTTACTTTTTGGCAAATAGTTATTTTGGAATCAGTTAATATTCAAACTTACGACATATATGAATCATTCCAAAGGTTGTTAGTTCTTACTCAGACTGATAATTATTGCTCTCTCCCCTTCCTGCCACTCCTCCAAGCATAATATTGAAAGATCAACACTCTAGCCACAAAACCTTAAGAAAGAGGGACTTCCACATGACCATGGAAAAATAAAAGAAGAAGTATGGAAACATTATAGTAACTGAGGTGTAGCCCTGCATGGAGTGATTTGGTTGTGTAAGTTATTTTTGCATAGCTGGGACCAAAATGTCTGAAAGAGCAACTGGAAGGGGGGCATTAATTATTTTGTTCACAAGCTCCAGATGGTTCAGTCCACGATTGCCTGGCCTCACATGCTTAGGTAGAACATCTTGGTGAGAGGAGAATGCCATGCTTCTGCTGAAGGCTCCAGAGAGGAACCTTTCTCCTCTCTTTTGGCTTCTTTCGGGTTTAGACCCTTGTTGACAATCTTTGCCAGTCCCTGACACTTCTTGACCTACTGCTGTATCATTCAGCTCTGTTTCTGTCTTCACAGAGCCTTTCTCCTAAGTGTCTGCATCCACATTTCCCTCTTTTTATCAGGACACTGATCATTGAACTAGGGTCTACTCCTATTAAGTATGACTTGATCTTGACCTAGTTTTGCAAAGATCCTGTTTCCAAATAAGTTCTCATTCACAGCTTCCAGGTGGATATAGATTATGAGGACACTATCCAACCCAGTATGATACTAAGACATGACACTGTGTTAATACATTTTAGAAGAATTTATAAAATGAAAGCAAAAAATGCTTTCAATAGTTCATGTTTATGGAACTCATGTGCCTTACCTGTGTGATGTCACATACTTTCGACATCTGTCAGCTCTGTGCTGACAGCCCACTGTGTGAGTAGAAGCCTGCTGCTTGGGCCATTTAGACTAGCAAAATATAACTCTTCCTTTTCTAGTAACTTCTGGGCTTGACTTTCTTTCCTCAGGCCCATGGTGTCCAACTCATGGAATTCTTGGAAGTGGAGAGCCAGGATGACTCTTACAGCATAGAAGCTGGCTGTGTTCACACCCAGGACCAACGTGGTATATATATCATGTATGAGGAAGCCTTGGAGGATCTGAAAGAACTGGAGGCAGAGCTGCTGCTTGTGGCTAGCTATTATATCGAGAAAGAAAAAAGTAAGAATGGGGCTGGGAAGGTGGCTCAGTGGTAGAGTGCTTGCCCTGCATGCATGAGGCCCTGGGTTCAATTCCTCAGCACCACATAAGCAGAAAAAGCCAGAAGTGGCACTGTGGCTCAAGTGGTAGAGTGCTAACCTTGAGCTGAAGAGCTGAGGGGTAGCACCCAGGCCCAGAGTTCAGGCCCCATGACCGACAAAAAAATAGGAGTCTGCCTTTTTAAAAGTTGACTGGCCAAACAAAAATGCCTGAGGGCCATACTGAATGCCCTCTACCCCAACAGATAAATATATATCCAATAGCACCAAAAAGTTAAGCAAGCACATGCCATCCCTTTCCCTCAACACACACTCACTTTAGAAAAGATATGATTCAGTTACTGGCTCATCCCCCTTGCTGATGGAGACCATGACTACTCTTTAAAGGTTCAGTTGGAATTCTTGCTCTTAGTTAGACTCTATTTGTGGCTCAGGGACATCTTGCATCACCCAATAAGATGCTGAGCCTCTTAAAAAAGCAAAGCAAGCAATGAATTGAATGGCTTTTTTCCCCTCCATGATACTGGCCTTGAGAAAACTGCATTTAGAAGCAGACATCTCTAGGTTTCTAACAGGAAACCACCAGGATGAAAGAAGATCTGGCTAGGAAAATGCCAGACAAGCCCCAGAGAGAGGGATCGTCACTTGGGATAATAAAGTAACCCATAATCTGTGTCTTTTCTTCTTTCTGGTATTAGCATCTACATTTCCAATTTTAGAAATAGATGAGGTAAGAATATTTCTTTTGGTATAATATGATAGCATTAGTATTACATTTGATTGGAGCTTAGGGAGAATCTCTAGACACACTGAAACATATAAAGGGAAATTTAGCAGTGGTTTGTGTTATTTTGTAATATATATAGGATGTAATATATTAAAGATAATTCATGTTCATATTATTATAAAATGTTACTTGAAGAATGCTTGACAACTAACTTTTCACATCCCAGAATTAATTTAATATGGGATTAAACTCCAGGCCCTGTCATGGCCACATTATTAATATCTGAATCATGCAATGATGGCATCCAATAGGCCAGGATATTTAATTTCAGCTCTTAGCTTTTAGCTTTACTGGTCATCTTATATGCAGCACATCATTTTTTTTTGTCATAGTAATGTATGATACCATGCAACTATTTGTAGCTGCTAAGATTTTAATTTGATTGAAACACATATAATCACATGGACAGATTTTAATTGAACTAGTAAATATATGATCATCCACTGTAAAATGATTTCCCAATCACTGCCAGAGAAGCTCTTGATTAAACCTTTTCTCTTGCTAAGTGCCCATCATCTACATGAGAGTTATTCAACTCACACTTCAACACCTGAACATTGCTTGCCTTCAAATATTTTCTTCTGAAATAGGCCACTTAAAAGTTTAGGGCAGTAATAATGTTGGCAATGAAAACTGACATTAAATATAATGGGAAACTATTTCAACTAATAATGATAGTGATTCATCTTATTGATTTAAGTTAGTAATTAACATAATTGAGAAATATTTTGGAGACTTGTATGAAAGTTTTGGACTTAACTTACACTAAGAGAAATAGCAAGTGAACCTGAGTTTTTTGCTAAATTACCAAGGACCTGCTTCTGGAAAAGGAGAAATGTGTGATTTAAAAACATAGTAAAAACTTTGCCTTCCAAGTTAAAAGTTTGAGGACATTTTAGCCTAGGTTTCATGACTACTGAATTTTTGTTTTATTTCTAAAATTAGTATTTAAAATTAGCAAGTGGAAACAAGAACTCTTGTTGACTGAGAAGTCAACAAGTATTGATTCAGGCCTACTTTTGTAGATGGGTTGTTGATTTTTTTTAGAAATTCCAGCAACTGGTTCAGAATTTCAACTCCTAAAATGGGCCCTGTAATCCTAGGGCCACACACTAACAGAAACAGCTTCTTTGGAAGGTCTGTCTCTAATCATTGCTTCCTTTCTCTCCTAGCTCACAAAACCAGCAGCAAGACAAAGAGTAGCCAGTGGGAATGGGCCCACACAAGTGTGGACAGGTTTGCTGTGCTGGATGACATGTGGATTTGGGAAGAAGCTCTTCTAGAAAACAAGCGCCAGGTACTATTTTTTTTTTTTCAGAAAACAAAACACCTGTTAAAAATTCTTTTTACCAAACTTATTAAGGTTTTTTTTTCATGACATGATTTTAGAGGAAGCTGCCAAAAAAGCAAGTTTTTACAAATTTGAATAGTCTCAGATAATTAAAAGGATATGAATAATAATTTTTACTGTCTTTACTGTGCTTTTTTTTTGTCAGTCATGAGGCTTAAACTCTGGGCTCAAGGCAAGTGCTCTACCACTTGAGCCACAATGCCACTTCCAGTTTTCTGGAGAAAAGAGTCTCATGGACTTTCCTGCCCAAGCTGGCCTTCAACCATGATCCTCAGATCTTAGCCTCCTGAGTAGCTAGGCATGAGCACCGGGGCCCAGCCTTTACTGTGTGTGTGTGTGTGTGTTTTCTGCTTATGTGGTGCTGAGGGCCTCAGGCATGCAAGGCAAGTGCTCTACCACTGAGCCACCTTCCCAGCCCCTTTTACTGTGTTTTTAAACCACAAAATACTACTTTTTTTCTTGTAGAATTAATAATTTGTTAAAGGGCTACACCACTGTTCTTCTTTCCTTCCTTCCTTCCTTCCTTCCTTCCTTCGGGCCTGGGCACTGTCCTTGATCATTTTTGCTCAAGGCTAGCACTCCACCATTTGAGCTACAGCTCTACTTCCAGTTTGCTGCTGGTTAATTGGTGATAAAAGTCTCATGAGAGCCCGGCGCCAGTGGCTCACGCCTGTAATCCTAGCTACTCAGGAGGCTGAGATCAGAGGATCTCGGTTCAAAACCAACCCCGGGCAGGAAAGTCCATGAGATTCTTATCTCCAATAAACCAATAGAAAGCCGGAATGACGCTGTGGCTCAGTCGGTAGAGCGCTTGTCTTGAGCTGAAGAGTGCAGGGACAGTGCCCAAGCCCAGAGTTCAAGCCCCCCAAAAAAGTCTAATGAACTTTTCTTCTGGGGCTGGTTTCAAACCACAGTCTTCAGATCTCAGCCTCCTAAATAGCGAGGATTACAGGTATGAGCCACTAGTACCCGGTACTGATTTGGGGTTTACATATGTTTTTAGTAAGAATGAATGATAATTTCATTAGTATTCATTATCCAGAAGTTGAGACAAACCTAGCTTTAAAAGAATCTGCCACTTGTGGGTATTTGAAAGTAGTGGGCAAGTGGTACTGAGTGCAGGAAATTATGAGGATGAGGTTAAAGCAATGAAACAGCAAATTACAAAAGCACCAACCATATCATTAACATTCGTATCTCAATAATAAATGAAGCTGGTGCTGGTGGCTCACACCTCTCATCCTATCTCCTCAGGAGGCTGTGATTTGAGGATCACATTTGGAAGCCAGCTCAGGCAGGAAAGGCCATGAGACTTTCATCTTCAGTAAATTACTCAGAAAAAGCCGGAAGTGGCACTGCAGCTGAAGTGGTGGAGCACTAGCCTTGAGCAAAAGCAGCTCAGGGACAGTGCCCAGGCCCAGAGTCCAAGTCCCAGGACTGGCAAAATAATAATAATAATAATAGATGAAATACTGCAAGGGTACTGCTCTTTATTACCTGAGCATAAATTATTAGCCCTTTCAATAATCACTAATTGCTAGTTATTGCAAACATTAAATATTTACTCTGTCACACATGGTTTCAGACATTAAGGATAGATAATAAATAGATAAATAAGAAATAAAATGATCCCTAGTCTATAGACTTTATAGTCTATACTTGGTTATAGTAAAAAGGCTGAGAAATGCCAGCTGCAAGTGGGCTCATACCCATAATCCTAGCTACTCAGGAAACTGAGATCTAAGGATCACAGTTTGAAGCCAATTAGGGCAGACCAATTTGACACTCGTATCTCTAATTGACCTGTAGGAATGTGGCTCCAATTGTCCAGGCCATTCTTGAGTGAAAAAGCTAAGCAAGACTGTGAAGTCCTGAGTTCAAAACCCAGTACTGGCACCAAATAAACAAATAACCGAGAAATGATAAGACATTCATAATCTGTAAATTCATCCAACCCTAAGCCAAAAATATAATTCACTGGATAACAGCCATTGAGAACTGATGTACCTTTAAAGAGAGGCATATAGATTTCAGTGAAGGGAAACATTTGTCTTGTCTGGGGGCTGTCAGAATGGAGAAAATGCTAGAAGCCCACAGATATTTAATCTTGGCTATTAAAAAATGAGTAGATGTTGTCTATCAAAGAAAAAGATTATTACACAAAGCTGGAGAGGCTCCATATGGAATGGCCAGTTAGAATCATAAGTAGACAGGGCCAATAGGTAAAGATATGGTTGGAAATGAGGTAAAACTGTGTTTTGGGTGTAAATTATGAAGGGCCTGAGAATTATGCAGTTTAGTATATAACCAGACAAGGTGAGCTTCCACAGGCAAGAAACATGATAATAGCTGTTTTCAACAGCTGTCTCAGAGTGTGAATAGAGACTGCAGTAGAATAGAAAACCCATGGAGAAAAGGAATACAGTTATTATTCTTACAGTGATCTGAAGATTTAGGAGGCACCTTACAGTAAGGATGGAGCAAAGAAAGAGGAGCAGACCGGAGAACACTTTGCAAGTCGAAATGCCAGGGCTGGATCTCATAGTGACAGAGTGAGGGTGGAGTTTAAAGAACTTTCAGTAAATGAAGGAGGAGACCATTCACATGAGGGGGAGATGATACTGGCTTGTGGACACAAAACACTTGATGAGGTTTGCTAAAATCTACGTATGGACATTTTGTGGGGAGCTCCAGGTTTGAAGCTCAGTATTAAGGATGAGCTGAGGAATGACTGTAAAAGTTGAGCTACAATAATAAAACACAACAACCTGGAATTCTGGAGAGTTTGAATGAGTCCTGAGTAGCCCCTGCATTTATGTAACAAATTAGGGAACAAGAAGTAGCCAATACACTGGAGGAAAATAAGGAAGGAAGAGTAGTATGAGAGTCAAAGAACAAAGTTGTACTTATGAGAGAGGATGCTTTCTAGTAAGGAACATAATGAAATGTCAAGAAAGCTGTGAGCTACATGGCTCACACTTATAATCTAGATTTGAGGCCAGCCTCAGCAGGAAAGTCCTTGAGAGCTGTATCTCCAATTAACTAGTAAAAAAAATCCTGAAGTGGAGATCTGATTCAAGTGGTAAAGCACCAGCTTTAAGTGAAAACACCAAGCAAGAGCACTAGGCTCTGAGTGCTAGCCCCAGTGCTGTGGCCAGTGGCTACCAAGTAAGACTCATCTACAGAGTGTTGGGTGGAACACAGAGTGCAGTGCATATGATGTGGTCTAAAGGTGGGGAAGAAAATGATTTCTTTGGGCTGGGAATGTGGCTTAGTGATAGCATGTTTGCCTTGTATGCATGAAGCCCTGGATCCAATTTCTCAGTACCACATAAGCAGAAAAAGCCAGAAGTGGTGCTGTGGCTCGAGTGATAGAGTGCTAGCCTTGAGCAAAAGAAACTCAGGGACAGTGCTCAGGTCCTGAGTTCAAGCCCTAGGACTGACAAAAAAAAAAGAGATAGTTTATTTGAATTGGTTTTCTAGTAGAATAGTAAGTGACTCACCTCATCTATGCTGTGGTCTGTTCCCTATGGAGATATAGCTCACCCAGTATTTTTTAAACCACTGGCTCTCTTTAAAAGTCACAAACCTTAAGCTCTGAAAATTCTTTCCTTTTTGCAAAGATAATTCACCTCTAACATTTTGCTTGTAATTTTGATCTGCCAATTAGAACTTTACGTACTTGGATCAACTGAGTTAATGAAAGATTTAGGCCATAGTATCTAAATATTAATTTAGTATTTTAATAATTTGCTTTTCCAATTACTGTTGGAAGTCTGTAAATTAATCATTTCAGATCATCAGTCTGTGTGTGTGTGTGTGTGTGTGTGTGTGTGTGTGTATACTGGGGCTTGAACTCAGGGTTTTGCTCTCTTGCTTGGCTTTTTCACTCAAGGCTAGCACTCTACCTCTTGAGCCAAACCTTCACTTCAGGGTTTTTATTGGGGGAGAGGAGGAAAGACAGATTAATTGGAGATAAGAGTCTCAAATTTGTTGACCTAAACTGGCTAGCTCTCAGCTTCCTGAGTCGCTAGGATTATAGGAGCCAGCCACCATGTCCAGTCCTCCCTTTCCCTAAACACTCCCTCTCCTCATTTCCCCTTCAGAGATATTTAGGCCTAAGGAGACCCCAGGCAATAGAAGAGTAGAAGAGCCAAGAGGAGAGAAAACCAGTATCTCTAGTCTATGCTAAGAAGATCACTAGTTCTGTCAAGGGTAAATGAAAGTATTTTAATTTAAAACAATTGTTTAAAATATCTCCATTTTTTTCTACTCTGAGAATAAGTTCTCTATAGAAACAGGGTTTTGTGCCAAAACTATAAAATATGGCCTGCAAGTCAGAAATTCTGTCCAAAGAGCCTGCATTTAAGGGCTAAGCCAGATTTCTATCCCAAGTACAATTGATTTTCCCCAGTACTGATTTCGCTGCCAAGTTTCCTCAGCTGTTTCTGATTGTTAAATATGTTGGTATCATAACTAAAAACCTTCTCGAACATACTGGATTCTTTTAAATTCTTAAAACAATCATTTTATGTATGAAGAATTAAAAAATTAGAAACAATGTCAATTTAAGTGGATTAAGGGGCTCGAGTAGCCACTGTATCTGCTGTTCTAGTTCCTACACTGTACCTTGCTAAGTCTTTTCTCCACAGCCACATTCTTCCAGGATTTAGTAAATAAAATTGTGTGACAAGCTATGTCAAGCACTGATTTTTAACTTTCATTTGATCTGCAATATATCTTAAAATGATTTTAAATCCTAGATATAATATAAAAAACGAGGTAAAAATAATACAAACAGTGAAGTTTGAAATGCTCTGTTTTATCTATTTCCTTATTTTCTCTGCTGTTTTTCTGCTTGCTATCTATGTGTTCAGCATATTATTTTGCCTTGAGAGTTGGCCCTTCACACACACGAGTGACATTTGACAGTTTAGAAAGACTTCTTACACAAATAGCAACCCAGAGTTTAAATGGAAATGGGCCAGTTAGCAAACACATGATACATAAAAACTGTGCAGCCGAAAGATCATGCCCCACCCCCGTTGGGAAAGAATTCATAATAAAATTTTGCAAGGGTCCATCTGAGACTTCTCAAAGTTAATCCCAAAACTTGGAAAAGTCTTATTGATTTTAAAAACAGAACACATTCTTCTTCTCAACAGCTATGATGACATATAAGATATTGCAATATCTAGGACATAGCAAAGAAAATATTTATTTATTTATTATTTATCTGAAATTCAAATTTGACTAGATGTCCTTTTTTCCCCCTTGTGGTACTGAGGATTGAACCCAGAGCCTTACACCTATTAGACAAATGCCCATCACTTCAAGGACCCCCTCAAGCCCTTTTGTTTTATTTTTGTTTGGATCTTCAGATAGGTTCCCACAACCTTTACCCATGCTAAACTAAAACTTGTGATCCTTCTGCCTCTACTTCCAGAGTAGCTAGGATTACAGTTTTGGCCCATCATGCCTAGCTTTTCTCATATTTTTATTTGCTAAATCTTTCAACTTTATCAACAGTAGTGAGCATATGATTTAGCATAAGCCTCTACAATCGGGCATCAGTGGATTCTGATCATCAACAACACCCCCTCCCTCAACACACACATACACTAACTCCCCATGAACTTCTGCCAAATAACCAAACAATTAAGCTCCTTGTCCAAAAACAGTCAAGGAAGTATAAATACTATAAGCCAGCTCCTGGAGTTGTCCTGGCTCAGCCCAAAGGGTTCAATTTAGTCTAGAATGAATCAGGGAAGTAATTATTTCTTTCTTAATCTCCCCCTGGGGCTACTGAGTACATCCTCCTTCTTTCCCCATCTAAGAATTGATTATGAGTTGAGAATTGAGCTCAGTGGATGAAACAGGTAATTTAGATAACTCTGCTTGCTTTGCTTTCCCTGGAGATCATGTCAAGTCAAAGTGATCACTATTTCCCCTCACCTTCTGCTCTACACTATGATGTGAGTATATAACTTGTGGATTGCCTTCTGTGGCATAAATTTTTAGCCTCCTGGGGTTTTCCTTTTATTACTAGGATTGATCTTAGATAGATGTCCCAGAAAACATCCTATAAGTCCAAGTGATAAATAAAGTACCCAGACTCTCCTTCCTTGAGCCTTAGCATTGGGCATTCAGACAAAAAGCATCTCTTAATACAGCACTTTTTAAGTCTTTTATACTATTCATTCTTTAACTCTTCTACAGAAGGGAAATTTTTCTCCTGTACCCTACTAGATTCAGTTTCTAGATCCCCAAAATAAAGCTGACAGAAGTACTGTCTATGTATAAATATGGAAGCTTTCACAGAGAGGACTCAAAGAAGTCGTTAGGCCCAGAAACTTATACCATTTTAACAAGAGTGATAAATTGTGGAGAAGTAACTAGACAAGAAAAGATAGGTGGATTTCTAGGACTGGTAAACATTTGATGAAGCATCTTTGAATGCATTGTTTCATTGGAACATACTGTTATTGCAGAATTGTGTTAGTCATTATATAGTCCCCTTTTATTAGTGAGAACAGAGGAAGAGGAGACAGAAACAGCTCAAACTCAAGTGCAGTTTTTCTGGCTCCAAAGTATGCATTCTTTTCCTCACCCGCCTGGGTTTGTGAGTTTACTAACTGTACCAACTGGTATTGGGGCTGTATCTGCTCATTCCAGGGCTACTCAATACCTGTGGTATAGTTCAGGGCTAAGGCCTCCCATCTCCTTGCTGGGCTCCAGGGCTGCCTCTGCTGTTTCCTGACTATAACTTTATTTTTAGCTTCTCGATAGTTACTTTGAAGCCTACCAGCACACACTGGACCCTGAGCAGAAGCTTGCCTTAGCACAAGTGATGACTGACATCATGCATCGGCGCCCCAAGTTTGATCTTGGCCACCCTTATTTCATTAAGGCCTACCAAGATGAATGTGCCTGCCTGAGGCTTCACCTGCAGCTGGTGAGGGGCATCCTCAGCCATCAGGTAAGTTAGGCTTTAAAAAGGTACAGAAAAGAAGATGGACAACATGATCCAGAAATGAGAATACTGTTCTCCTCTTATTGCTGGATACGAATTTGGGTTTTCTAGGCAGCAATTTTTTTTTATTTTGGTCAGTCGTGGGGCCTGAATACTGAGCCTCAGCTCTTCAGCTCAGGGCTAGCGCTCTACCACTTGAGCCACAGCACCACTTCCAGCTTTTTCTGCTTATGTGGTGCTGAAGAATTGAACCCAGGGCCTCATGCATGCAAGGCAAGCACTCTACCACTGAGCCACTTTCCCAGCCCAGGCAGCATTTCTTTTTTAATTTTGTTTTTTTTGTGATACTGGGAATTGAACCCAAAGCCTCATGTATGCTAAGCAAATGCTTTACGTTTTGAGCCATGCTCTGAGCCCTCTTTTTTCTTGCATTTTTGTGGTACTGAGGTTTGAACTCAAGGTCTCATGCTTACTAAGAACTTTACCATTTGAGCCGTGTGCTCAGCACTTTGTTCTTGTAGTTTGGTTCTGAAAAAGGGTGTCTCTAACTTTGTTCAAGCTGGCTTTGCACTCAAGATTTTCCTGCTTCTGTCTCTGGAGTAGCTAGGACTACATATGTGCATCACTATGCTGGCAGCATGTTCATTTGTAAGCCCACTGGCACTGCTGAATTCCAATCGTAACTACCATCTCAAAAGGATTCCACTGTAATCACAGCTAGAGGTCCACAGGAATTGATAACATCTGCTTTGATTAGGTGAAGCAGTTTTTCAGTTGTGGAGGAAGAACCAGTGATACATCTTTTGGGACCTTAATGTATTAAAAAGATTTTATACCAGGTGCTAGTGGTTCATGCCTGTAATCCTAGCTACTTGGAAAGCTGAGTTATGAGGATTGCAGTTCAAAGACAGCCTGGGCAGAAAGTCCATGAAACCCTTTTCTCCAAATAACTGCCAAAAAGCTAGAAATAGAGGTGTGGTTCAAGTGGCAAAGTGCCAGCCTTGAATGAGAAAGCTAAAGGACAGACCATGAGTACAAGCCCCACTACAACATATATACACGCACACATATGCACACACAACACGTGCACATACTACACAAAATAAAACAAAAAGATTTTGTGACTTCTTTTGAGACACTGAAAGAAATGACTACATGGTATGTTTTCTAGAGAAAAGCTAGGCATGATGTAAGCAGGAGATAGAAGATGTTGCTGCCTGATTAGATATTTTTTCCCTACTCTAATTATTTGAGAGAGAAAAAAGTTTTCTTTTGCTTCTTAAAATTGGATGTCTTTGATTTCCTGGGCTGAACCTTGGCTCTGACTGCATGTCTCATAGCAAACAAATCTTCAAAACAATGTCTGCGTGAAAATGGGTTGAATGATTTAAAAAAACTGCAAAGGAGTGACTTCCTTCTGTCAAGGCTCATAACTCACATCCATGGGAAAGTTTATTCTTCTAATTTGAATGTCTATGCTACAACTTCAGATAGAGCATCAGCGGGAGTATGTCCAGAGGCTTTGGCGGGAAGAACATCCAGATGAGCGGAATAAATTTGGACTTCCCCTTAACGTAATTTGTAAGCAACTCATTTCCATCAACAACAGCTAGTAAGTTGGTGCTGTCCTTAAACATTACATAGTTAATCTTAAACATATAGTGTTACATCAAATTACTACCCTTAAAGTACTTCTCAATGATTTGGAAAGGTGATACATGTATCTATAAAAGCCACAGGGGATGAAATGAACTCTGGGAAATGGAAGCAAGAGGTTTTTTCTTTGTTGTTTTCATTTTCTTTTCTTTTTGACTTGTTTGCTCATTTATATGTCTTTGGGAATATACGGGGTGGCACAGAAATGGAGGGATAAAGGGTGAATAAATGTAGAAGTGGTATTCACTAGACACTATATTGAAAATGAACTATACACTTATACATAGGGACAGGAGGGGAACATTGAGAGAGAGGGAAGGTAGGGGTCACATTGTCCAAAAAGAAATGTACTCCTTCCTTGACTAATACACTGTAACCACTCTATACATCACCTTTATAACAACAATAAAAAAATTTTAAACCACAAGGGAAAGATTACCTCAAATATTGAATCTCTGTTTGCTTCATAAATAACAACAACAACAACAAAAATGGTGGTTGGAATTTAAGCATGCCATTTGGTACAGAATCATCATCCCTTTAAGAAATCCAATGAAGCTGGGTGCTGGTGGTTCATGCCTATAATCTTAGCTACTCAGGAGGCTGAGATCTGAGGATCATGGTTCAAAGCCAGCCCGGGCAGGAAAATCCAAGAGATACTTATCTCCAGTCAACCACCAGAAAACTGAAAGTGCTCAAGTGGTAGAGCACTTGCCTTGAGGTGAAGAGCTGAGGGACAGCACCCAAACCCAGAGTTCAAGCCCCACAACTGACAAAAAAAAAAAATCCAATGAGGATTTTTAAAAAGTCGTTCTTAAAAGGCATGTAAGTCCAAAATCTAAAACTTAGAAATGTTTAAAAATGTCTTAGAGAAGAAATTTCTACTAAGTGTTGCTAAAGAGATGTCTGCAGATTTGTCTTATAACCTCACCTCTTTAAAGAGCAGAATTCAATTTCCTGAGACCATCAGAAAAGGCATTTGCTGTATGACACACTGTCTCCTCCCCTTGACAGGACCACTAACTTTCCTTCTCGCCTTTGAGTATACAGGAAAACAGGAAGCAGGTGACAAGCCCCAGGTTAATCTGGGTAGCCCTGAGATCAAGATCTCTTTGTTGGGCTGGGAAGGTGGCTCAGTGGTAGAGCACTTGCCTTGCATGCATGAGGCCCTGGGTTCGATTCCTCAGCACCACATAAGCAGAAAAAAAAAAAGCCAGAAGAGGCGCTGTGGCTCAAGTGGTAGAGCGCTAGTCTTGAGCTGAAGAGCTGAGGGACAGCGTCCAGGCCCAGAGTTCAGGCCCTCAACTGGACGCCCCCCTCCCAAAAAAAAGATCTCTTTGTTATCTCCAAGTGGGTAGAGAAATTGTCTCTCCCCTCTCAACATTCAACATGAACATCCACATATACCAGGCCATGTGCTAAGAGCTGAGTGTAGCATGAACACAGCCCTGACCCTGGGCTCTGTGGGGTCTTCAGTCCAACAGTAAAGGCAAACTTTATGTGAGAAATTGGTGTGATGGGTTACGGTATTATCTTGGTTTTTTGTTTTGATTTTTGTTTTGCTTTTTGTGTGCTGGTTCTAGAACTTGAACTCAGGGCCTAGGCACTATTCTTTAGCCAAAGCAAAGGGCCTAGCTCTCTTGCTTAGCTTTTTTTGCTCAAGACTGGCACTGTATTACTTGCTCTTCAGCTCCATTTGGCATTTTTGGTGATTAATTTGAAAAAAAACTCTTGTGAATTTTCCTGTCAAGGCTATCTTCGAACTATGATCCTCAGATCTGAGCCTCTTGAGTAACTAGGATTGCATGAGCCACCAATGCTTGGCAAAGGTTATTGATTGGATCATTCTGAATGTGGAAAGGATAGTGTGGGAGTTAATAGCTGAATTGCTAACCTCATTTCTTGCAAAAGGGCCCTGGAAGGTCTATATACAAAGCTCTGCATTTTGGCCATAAATCTTTCTCAAAACTGATTTGTTCACTGTAATGAATTTGAGACATCAGCTGTGTGTGCAGCGTGCTATGGCAAAAGTCCGCTGTTGAGGAAATGGCTTTTGGCAGAACAGGCTAAGGCTATGCAGGGAGTAAAACCTGTCAGCACAGTCTCCACTATAAACCTTGTTTGCTTGGTGAGATTACTGTCCGGACTTTGGGCTTTATTTTTTAAGATTCACTAAGCAGAACCCCATTTGCATAGATTTAAACGGAAATGCTCTTCAGTTCCTTGTAGGTATAGAAAGACCCTCGACTTTTTCATTATTTATAAAAGAGTAAGTCACAGGCAAGCAATATTGTTTCTAGTTTCATTTCTTTCTATACTATAACATTCTAGTTGGGCACCGGTAGCTCAGGTTTGGAATCCTAGTTACTCAAGTGACTAAGATGTGAGAATCCAGGTTTGAAGCCAGCCCAGGTACGCAAATATGAAAGACTCTTATCTCCAATAAACAAGCAAAAAACTCAGAAGTGGTGATGTAGCTCAAGTAGTAGCATGCCAACCTTGGGCAAAAACGCTAAACAAGAATTCTAGGCCCTAAGTTCAAACCTTAGTACAGGCACAAAAAATTAAATTAAAAAGTATAACCTCCTTATTTCAAATAGCAAGATTCTTGGCACTTTTATACAGAACTTTAAAACTGTCTTTGTCTATTAATAGTTTTTGGTGGGAGAAAAGATAAAAAACTTGGGGAAAAACTAGACACAAATCTCTCTCTCTCTCTCTCTCTATATATATATGTATATATATATATATATATATATATATTATTTATTTATTTATTGTCAGTTGTGGGGCTTGAACTCTGGGCTTGGACACTGTCCCTGCACTCTTAAGCTCAAGGCGAGTGCTCTACTGCTTGAGCCATAGCAACACTTCCAGTTTTCTAGTGTTTTATTGGAGATATGAGTCTCTTGAACTTTCCTGCCCAGGCTGGCTTTGAACGGTGATCCTCAGATCTCAGCCTCCTGAGTAGCTAGGATTACAGGCATGAGCCACCGGTACCCGGCTAGACACAAATAATTTTGAAAATGATTTCATTTTATTTGAAATAAAGGTTTGTGTCTAATCACTGTCATTTTTATTTTAAGGGAGGTAGGGATCTTATACTTTTACTCAGCTTTTTCCACACAAGGCTGGCATTCTACCACACAAGCCACACCTCTACTTTCAGCTTTTTGATGGTTTATTGGAGATAAGATTCGTATGGACTTTATTCCCCGGGCTGGCTTTGAACCATGATCTTCAGTTCTCAGCCTCCTGAGTAGCTAGGATTACAGATATAAACCACCAGAGCCCAGCTATAGTTTTATTCTTATTGGGTTTTTAGGCTATACATTGATTTCTTTCCATTTTGTAAGCCAGCCACATCCCTAAATAACCTCTGACATTCTCTGAGTTACTAGTTTATAATGCTAGACTTGTAACAAATTCTATTATTGGTCTTTTTTTTTTTTTTTTGGTCCGGTTGTGGGGCCTGAACTTTGGGCCTGGGCGCTAGCCCTCAGCTCTTCAGCTCAAGGCTAGCGCTCTACCACTTGAGCCACAGCGCCACTTCCGGCTTTTTTTTTCTTTTTGCTTATGTGGTACTGAGGAATCGAACCCAGGGCCTCATGTATGCAAAGCAAGCACTCTACCACCGAGCCACCTTCCAAGCCCCTTTTTGGTCTTTAAATTATAAAGTTCAAATATCTTCAGAAACAGATTGCATTTCTTCTTGTTTACCATCATTATTTGTTTTGCCTCCTTTTCCAGCCAAGCTTTGAAAAACATTTATCTGCTGGAGTTCCACCCATCCCTTGGTCTGGCTGGGCTCCTCCCCAGAGCCCTTGAGCACCTGCTCAGAGAAGCCCGTCATGCCTGCAGGCCCACGTCACCCAGTGGCCTTGCCTTGCTAGAACAACACATCCTGCAGCTGGCCCTGGACCTGTGGCTCCACCCAACCAAGCCTGAGGCCTGGTACAGCACACAGCTCCAGAAAGATGTAGGTTCTTTCTGCAGGGGAATTTGGATCCTCATCAAAGAGAATGATTCCTTGCAGATGATACTGTTTAGTTATGTTTTTCTCTTTGGCTGTCTTCTTATTTAGCCAGAGATAAAACATAATCATAGCCTTGCCAATATTTTTATGTGATTCTTTTTTTCTGGTCAATGTTTCCAGTTTATAAGGATGCTACAATAATGTATAATTAATAGGGGGATTACATAGGTATGTGAAAGTGTTTTATTGTTTATTATTTATCTTTTAATAATGCACATTTAACTAAATATATTGTATAAATGTATTTTCTTCTTACAATTTGCTCTTTTTGTCTTGAGCTGAATTTTGGTGCTGGGGAGAGAACCTTGAGTTAGAAGTTACCTGCCATTAACTTGTGTGACTCTGAGCAAATATTTTGGCCTCTCTGAGCCTCATTTTCCTTTTTTGTACAATTATGTTTGTGTATTTTAGAAGTCAGTGGTGGTAAGTTCAATAGACTTTATATACCCTTCGTCTAATGCTTGATGGTCCAAACTAGCCAAATAATGTATATATCCATTATTCTATTTAATCCTTTGTTTTTCAGCTGAGGCTGTCTGGGCTTCTGTTAAGGTTTAGCCTGAGATTCCAAATTGGCCTTACTTTGTGGACACTTGCTATATAACAAAGAAACGTTCAAAGGCTTCTGCCACAAAGATTTACTCCTTAGGTTTATCTTGGAACTCCTACTCCTGCCCAAACTGACATTTGTTTTAGTTATAAGTTAATTAAAAATTCATTCACATAATATGAAACTATAGAGAATTTTTATACTCAAAAAAGAACAGAACAAAATGTAACCTAAGTAAAACTACTCAAATTCACTATAATTATTTTTGTCATATTTTGAGTTTTTATATGTATACTTTAAACAGATCTTTATGCTTTGTTTTCTTTTTTTCATTTAGTATTGTGCTATATATTTTCCACATTACAAACTAATTTATACTCACCTTCATGCCCATGTAACTCCCTTACACAATGAGTCATATAACTTCCCTAACCAGTTCCCTTCTGCTGGCCATCCAAATAGTTTCTACTTTTTTTTCTTTATTATTAAAAATGGTAAAAAAAAAAAAAAAAAAGTACATCATCATGCTTACAGATACTTCCATATACTGAATTGATTCTTTTTGATAGATTCTTGGAAGCAGAATGGTTGAAATTAAATTTAAATCTTGCATACCTATTGGCAAATTGCTTTCTGAAAGAGTTATGCCTACTTAAAAGGCTACCAGTGGTATATAAGAGGACCAGTTCTTCTGGGTCCTGCAGTGCAGTATTAGGTGAACCCATAGCATGTATAAGCATATGCATAGTATGTGTATACCCATAAATATGTACATATATGTATATGCATATACGCATGCCCATAAAAGGTAGCATTATGCTCTTCATTTACACCTTCTTGCTACTTAATGCAATTATTTTTGCAAATGCTTTGTTACCAGCTGCAATTTTTCTGAATTTTGTTTTTTCTACCTTTATTCATTTGTCTGTTGGAGTCTTAATGTCACTCCTATTTACTTATGCAAATTTTTGTAAATAAAAGCTTTAACTGTTTTGGTCTGTCAAATTTTCTGTAAATATTTTCTACATTTGTCTATTTTATTTTCAGAAAATTCTTGTTTTCATATAGTGAGATCTGTTGAACAATTCCTTTATGATTTCTTCTATCCTCCTAAATGCAGAATCTTCCTCCAGCTGTTTTGTATTTGTGTTATTTCATTCTAATTTTAAGGATGATTTAATTTTTAGATTATTTTAACTCCTTTACTATTTCACTGGAATGTGTGTGCATTCATATGGTACATAAAGTACAAATCAATATTAAAATTTCTCCAAATTACCAGATGTCTATCCTACTTCCTTTTCTTGAAAATTCTTTCCACATTGTCTTATGGTGCCATATTTTAAAAATCTACCTGAAATTCTCTTGCAAAATGTAAAAATATCTGAGATACTTGTATAGTTTCCTACTTATGCTACAGTCCTAATTATTGTTTTTGAAATGTGTTCAAATTTGGATCTAGAAATGCTAAATATTCAGATTAATATTTTATATTAGGTCAGAAAATGCTTCAGAAGACATGCAGGAATTTAATCTCTCTCTTTGTTTCCATGTGAGAGGACTTTAAGAACCTAGCAATTATATTCTTTGATAGGTTGGTGGAGACATAGGGAGCTAGTCCACTTTGGGGAAACCAAATCAGGAAAGGCAGATAGAGGGTTTTCTTGCTGGGTCTTTGCTGGGAGGGGCCCATAAGAAGACAAGGAAGTTGTTGGTGCAGAGGCATTGACCAGGCAGGAGGATGTTAACGGACACATGGGTACTTAATGTGGCTGAGCTGGGAGTAAAGGAGCCCTGGGAAGGCAGGTGAATGTTCTGGAAAGTGACTGACCTCAAAACTGGGAAGCTCAATTCTCTTCGGAACTACTTGTGGCCTTGGAAAACTTAAAGATAGCTTCACTACTCAGGAAGCTGAGATCTGAGGATCTTAGTTTAAAACCAGTGCTGGAAGATAAACTTAAGAAACTCATCACTAATTAACTAGCAAATAGCTAAAACAGATGTGTAGTTCAAGGGGTAGAGCACCAACCTTGAGCAAAAACATGAAGCAAGAGACCCTGAGTTCAAGCTTCATAACTTCTGTTTTAGCTTCCTCATTGCTGAAGGATAGTGGTACCTGTGATGTCCACTTCATGGGGATCTGGTAGAAAGGAAAATAAGTTAGTAATACTCATTATGCAGAAATGCTTTAAAATGTTGAATCTGCAATTTTGCTACTAACCACTAAAATACTGTTAAAAAACCAGGGACACCTATTTGTATTCACATTATTTTCATCATTTATTTAGGCTCAGAACATTTATGATACTGATAAGTATTTTTGCATGGTTTAGCTCACCTAACCCTCTGAACCCTGCTGAGCAATTTATACCTCTTAGTATCTTGTAAGCAGCCCAGGACATCTGTGCCTCTGACAGTATATACATATTTTAATACACGAAGTTTATTTTTTGTGTGTGTTTTACGACTTGTTTTCTTTCAGCTATTTTCAGCTAAAGTGATGGACGACCCTTTTCTCGTGGAGGAGCTAGGTCGGCTTGCACTCAAGTCTGCCGCAGAGGAAGGACACAAACAAGGCCGCAGTTGCCATGAGCTGCTCCTGGAGACGTTGGCCAAACTACTGGAACTCCTAACCATCCGCCACCGGCTCATAGAAATGAGTGTGGAGAGTGCTCATCTGGCTTGGTCAGTTGGGGACCAAGGAGCAGGCTAGATCTTTATGTCTAGGACAAGACTGGGAGAACAGATGACAGACCCCAGGTTTGCTACCTGCAAGCCTCGGGGCTGGCCCTCCTCTGGCCTTGGAGCAGAGCACCCTCTCCATGCCTTGTCTCTTAACTACTCTGATCAGGGCTGCATCCTTTTTCCATCACCTTCCATTCAGCATAGGTCCTGTTTTTGTTTCTTTGTTTCTTTTGTTGTTGTTGTTGTTTTGGTAGTACTGGGTTTGAACTTGCATCTTCTTAGATGTATACCATTCTACCACTTTACCCCTGAAGCCCCTTTTGCTTTTATCGTTGCCTCCCAATTAGAAGTGAACCACCACGGTCAACCTGGACTTTTGTTGTTGTTTGCTTGGATTTGCTTTTGACATAATCTAGATAATGTTTTCCCCCTCAGGCTATCTTCAAAACTGCAATGCTCCTATCTCTATTAGGAGCTGGGTTACACTCAGGTATCAGCATTCCTGACCCATTGTTCTGGTTGCAGAGGGGAGGAGATATTTGTTTGTTTGTTTAATTTTGGGGTTTTTTTTGAGGCGGAGTTTTGCAATAGCCCAGCTTGGCCTGGAACTTACAATCGTCCTACCTCAGCCTCTCTAGTGCTGGGATTACAAGGGTTTTCCTGCTAGCATAAGCTGCCTGTATGCAAAGGTTTTATTCCTGTTGTTTATCATAATATCCCATGATCTGGTATTTTAGTCCATCTGTACTGCTATAACAGAATACTTGAGATTGGGTGATTTATAAAGACCAGAGTTTTGAATCCTAGCTACTCAGGATGCTGAGATCTGAGGATCACAGTTCAAAGCCAGCATGAGCAGGAAAGTCCATGAGATTCTTATCTCCAATCAGCCACCAGAAAACCAGAAGAACACTGTGGCTCAAAGTAGTAGAGTGCTAGCCTTGAGCAAAAAAAGCTCAGGGACAGCACCCAGGCCCTGAGTTTAAGCCCCACGACCGGCAACATAAAAAGTAAAAATAAATAATTGTGGAGACTGGAAAGTCCAAGGTCAATAGACCCACATCTGGCTAGAGCCTTCTTGTTGTGTGATTCCATGGCAGACAATGGGAGGACAGTAGAACATTGATCCTGTATATACATGTACAGGAGAGGGAGAGAAAAGGGGAGAAAGGGAGATGAAGGAGGGAGAATTAGAGAGGGAGGAAGGAAAGTTAACATTTTAGTTCTAAATGAGAAATGAAGCCTTCAAGTGGACATGTTTTGCTAGCAAAAAAAAAAAAATGGAACTAAAGGCTGCAAGCATGTGTGAATGCTAGTGCTCCTGTGTTCTGGTCACCATGAGAGGCCCTGAAGACATGGGAAGTACAGTTGTCCACTAACCATTATCAAGGGCCTGCTGTGATCAGGATCTTTATGAAGATTTAATGTATCATTTCATTTAATTCTCTAAGTATCCTTGTGATATAGAAACAAGCACTTTATCAGCAAGGAAATAGAGACTCAGAAAAGAAAAGTAATTTTTGCAAAGTCATATAACTAAAAAATAGTAGAAGCAGAATTTAGACTATTGGTGAAAATATCATTGCCTCTGAAATTAATGATCCTAGCCCTCATAATGTAGAATTACCCATAATACACTGTAATACTGTTTTCCTACTCATCTGAACAAAACACTTCAGGAGTACTGAAAAGGAAGTAGTTTGTTCTAAGTGGATCAGGAATTCTGAATAGAAGAAGAAATGCTATGAACTAAATTATATCTCTCCAAAGTTCATATATTCAAGAATGAATCCCTTGTACCTCAGGGTATAATGTAAGGGTAAAGTTTTAGGACCACCTCTAATCCAATGTGACTGGTATCTTTATAAAAGACTCCATGTGAAGACACCACACACCTGTGAAGCTCACAGAGAGAAAATGGCCATACATGGGCCAATAAGAAAGGTCTGGAACAAACTCTTCCCTACAGCTCTGAGAAACAGCCAATCTTGATGACACCTAGATCTTTCTTCCATCTTCCAGAATTGTGAGATAATCAATTTTTATTATTTCAGCCACTGAATACTTTGTGTTTTTCTCTTGTACCTTTTTTTTGGGGGGGGGTCCAGTCGTGGGGCCTGGACTCTGGGCCTGGGCGCTGTCCCTCAGCTCTTCAGCTCAAGGCTAGTGCTCTACCACTTGAGCCACAGCACCACTTCTGGCTTTTTTCTTTTTGCTTATGTGGTGCTGAGGAATTGAACCCAGGGCCTCCCGCATGCAAGGCAAGCGCTCTGCCACTGAGCCACCTTCCCAACCCTCTTGTACCTTTTTAAAGCAAACTAATACAGGTACCAATTGAATTCACTCTGAATGTACCAGCTCCACAGTATAAAAACTGGGTTAGAATAAGAGTACAAAGGGTGGGCCAAAGCATTGTCGACACACAACACTGAACTGCCAGAGGAACATCTGGCAGTCATACAAATTCAAAACTGGAATGCAGAGGTGAGTCAAATAAGGATAAAAGTCACAGATTCCTGCATGAGGGGGGGTATTTTTATATCCTTTGGGTGAATTAATTCCCCTAGGAGAGGATGTAGGAGATGAAAAGAAAACCAAATCTATAACCCTGGAAAATACCACAATTTGAAATAAGGAAGAGGAGACCTAAAGAAGACTGAGAAATAATGATCATGTAGCAGGAGCATGGAGATCGTGGACCAAAAGACATTCTTCAGGGAGGGGCAGAGAGGCCTTCTGTGAAGAGCTCTAAGGAAAGGCAATGAAGCTTATTTGGAAGACAACATTGAGAGCTCTGAGGACAGATGCCAACCAGAACGACATGAGACAGGGATGTGCCCAAGCACATCGCCTTCTAGTGTTACTGTCTACCAGTCTATAACTGTCACGGAGAGCAGAACTTTTATATTGAAAGTGACATGAAGCACAGCAAAATTCCAAGGTCCCAATGGAATGAGGAACCAAGTCAAGACCAGGAAATGGGTTAGATGGAACACAAAAAACAGGGCCATTTCCATGTGCAAATTTAAACCCTGTGGGAGAGACAGCCAATCAATAGGTTCCATAAAACAAGAAATAACCAGTCAAAAGTAGCCTAACCAAAGACCTAAACTCTTCTCCTGGCCCTGAGTGAACACTGTTATATTTCTAAGGCTGGCTAGTGGCCTGCTGTATCTTGTACTGTGTTCTGGTACTGATGTCCTAATAAACATTTCTATACTCTTTTCTTGGTATGTCTCTTTTTTAAAATCAGCCTGCCACTGGGCTCTAAATATCCATTACAGAGGCTGGGAAGGTGGCTCAGTGGTAGAGCACTTGCCTTTCATGCATGAGGCCCTGGGTTCGATTCTTCAGCACCACATAAGCAAAAAGAAAAAAGCCAGAAGTGGTGCTGTGGCTCAAGTGGTAGAGCGCTAGCCTTGAGCTGAAGAGCTGAGGGACAGCGCCCAGGCCCAGAGTTCAGGCCCCACAACTGGACCCAAAATAAATAAATAAATAAATTAATTATCCATTACACTTTGTGGCTCACTTGCTTCACATAGTATTGGGTTACTCTTGTTTAATTTTGCTTCAGTACTTACTCATCTGTTTTTGTTTTCTTACTGCTTACTTTGAGGAGAAAACACCAACACATGTCTTTGCCTTTTTTTTCTCCTTTTCTTTCAGGATTTATAAGGAATTGGCATGGGAAATGGGTTTTGAAGAATTCCACTTGTATCTGAGACCTGTTCACTTTGAGTTTGCATCACACAAGGACAAGGTGGACCAACCACCTCCTGTGTTTATAACCTCTGTGCTGGAGGACAATGGTCGTGTAGACAGGTGAGCCTTCGGGAGAGGTTAAGATGAAAATAATGGTAGAATAAGCAATCAGGGATAATTCTGTCACTTTTGGACATGCCAGTGTAATTGCATTTTTAAGTTCTCTTCCTTATATTCTATCTGCCATGATTCTATTTTTTTTCTTTTTCCTTTTCCAGTAAGAGGACAGAAAATAAGACTTTAAGAAGGATAATCAGATTTAAGAATACAAAAACTTTGAGAAGTAAAAAAAATCAGGTCAGTGAACTCACATGAAATCACTGGCTCTGCCACTTCCCAGGGAGAATACATTGTTTCCAGATAGCAAAGGGGACAAGGGTTGGTCTGATGAGACAAGAGCCATGGATGGTCTCTTGCTTGCCTTAAGACCAGAAAGAAGTCATTTAGGGTTTCTGGGCATTTTTTCTCACATAGAACATAGAACACAAATGTATCATATAAGCAACTTCTTTTATCTTTAGACTTCTTGATGACTCTTTCATTGGAGGCCAACCCCAAAGAAACCTCTCATGGCCCATTAGGTCAGCCTATTGCTGGAAAGACATCACTGCCCACCAGCTGACACTGAACCTACTAGGAGAGACCATCTTCTTTTTCCTCATACAGAGTCAGCTTTTGCAAGTTTCTTCTATGTCTCTCTTCTTTCCTTCCTACCTAAGTGTTCTTCTCACCTGCCTCCCCAGGGTCCCAACTCTATTCCTGATCATTCCCAGTACTGATTCCACCCTAAAGGAGGTAAAGGTAACTCCTAAGAGGAAAAGTGTCCTTTATTTTGCTGATGTTGATTACTGTTGATTACAACTCCCTTAGTGGGTTAAAGGATCCAAAGAGTATGGGCTGGAATGAAATGAATTAGTGTCACTGTCAATGAATGGAAAGGTTCTTGATGTCTCAAAAGAAATCTGGGCATTGGTATTTTATGCCTGTAATCCCAGCTATTCAGGAGGCTGAGATCTGAGAATCATAGTTAGAAACCATTCATGGCAGAAGGGTCCATAAAACTCTTATCTCTAATTAACCAGCAAAAAGCCTAAAGTAGAGGTGTGGCTCAAGTGGTACAATGCCAAATTTGAACAAAAAAAGTTAAGTGAGTGCTAGGCCCTGAGTTCAAGTTCTAGCACTGGCACAAATGAAGAAGAAGGAAAAAGAGGAGGAGGAGGAGAAGGGGTGGGGGTGGAGGAGGAGGGAGAGGAGGAGGAAAAGGAAGACGAACAAGTGAAAAAGAGAAAATTCAGAGGCTGACACACAGAGGAGTTTTAACAGAGCACAATTTATTGAAGCAGGAGCAAATGCTAAATCAAAGGAAACAGAGGGCAGGCAGTTCAACCAAGCAATCACTAGCACCAAGCTCCTAGATCATAGATGCTTTTATGGGTAGAATTTAATGATTATGCTAGGGACATGTACATAAGGGTGTAGTCCTTTCAGAAATGGGAGTGCATTTTCAAGAACTGGAGGATGGGCAGTGGTTTACCAAAAAGATACCCTTGGACTCTAGTCGGAAGATTTGAGGGAAGGCGCATGCAACATGAATAAGATGTAGAAGAGGCGTCTGGTGAGGAAAGTTCCAGCAAGTACAACACCTAGTATTTGGCTCTTTTCACTTTATTGTTCTCTCTCTGTCAGCCTACCTGCCATCCTGCTTATTAGGGTGACAGAATAAAGTAACCCCAGGCTTTTTAACCTTGGCTCTAGAAAAACTAGGAGCTCTACAAGTCTTTGTTGTGAGAGGTAACTATCCTTTGGCAGTCTTGTAGCAGAATTCCTGGTTTCTACCCACTAGATGCCAATAGTAACATCCTGTCCCCCGTCATTGATGCTTGATCTTTCCCAACCTCTGTTCCTATCCCTTGTTTCTAACAACTGAAGATGTCTCCAGACATTGCCAGATAGTCCCTTGAAGGCAAAATGTTCTCTGCTGTACCCTGTCATACTTGCCAAACACAAACCAGAATGCATGGTAAAGATGCAGAGATGTGTCACAGAAACCAGGGGAAGAAGTATGATTGGGCCTCAGGTGAGGCTGGGCCTCTAACTGGCAGCCAAGTTGGATCCTGGCTCTTTAAGGGCCTCCCTGTGGAGCTGATATTTTTATTCTGCTGTAAACATATGACTTATCTTGATTCAGAAAGAATCCACCAATTAGCACAAGCTGTCTAAATGAAGTATACTCTGATCAAATAGTGATTAATCCTCCCAAAGATGCCATAAAACAAAAGAGCCTTCTGAATTAACCGGGGATCGAGAGAACTGGAGTCTTAAGTTATCATTTCTTTGCTATAAAGTTATTATTCAGGAGTGTCATGTAACAACATATTCCAAACATGAATACGGTGACTTATATTTTGGAAAGCATGTTTGTGCATATTATCAGTTCATATTCTTCACTATCCTGCAGTGGGTGATAGTCCCATTGACAAATGAAGAAACAAAATCACTTGACAAAGTCTCATAGTTATGGATGGAGGACTGTGTCCCAAGATGGAACCTGGCTATAAAGAATGTTTGAATGATTGTTGGAATCATAAGAGAGAGCAAGAATTAGACAGCATTTAGAGGATGTTCAAAGGAAGGAGTTAGTAAAGGATCCTGAACAGGCATGGTCAAGAAAGTTAGAGGATGGTGCAGTTACTACACTCTAGCAGGAGGAGGAGGAGGTAGAGGAGGAAGAGGAGGAGGGGGAGGAGGGGGAGGAGGAGGAGGAGGAGGAAATGGCTGAAAAATGAGGAAGGCTTGGGTGGGATGGGGAGGGTTAACAAAGAGTGTGAATGAGTGTGAATATAGTCACTGTAGTCTATTTGCATGTTTGAGAATAGAACAATGAAACCTGTTGAGATTGTTTTAAGAGATGAAAGTAGAAAGGGGGTAGAGGGAGGAGAGTGAGATAGGCCAAGACATATTGTGTGCATGTGTGGAAGTGTCACAATGAAACTGCCCCTGTATAACTAATGTATGCTTAAAACATGGATTAAGAAAAAGAAGGTCAGGGAGAAACAACAGAAAAGAATTGCAAACATTATAGACTGATCATCACAACCCAAATTGTAGAGAGATCATGTCCAATGAGGGCTGAAAAGTCTCTTGAGTCTTCCATTTAGAGGGTAAAATACGGTCTTATATAAAACTTGTGCTTGCCAAGATTTTTAATCTGGTCACATGACTTTCCCTCCATCAGCCTGGGTTTCCCTTGGCCAGTGTGGTGGATCACACCTGTAATCCCAATTACTCTGTAGACTGGCAGGGAGATCACAAGTCTTGAGACTAGCCTAGGCGAATTAAGGAAATCTTGCTTCAAAATAAAATGTTAAAAGGGCTGGAGGTATAACTCAGTGGTAGAGTGCTTGAACCCTGCAGGCATGGGTTCAAGCCCCATAACTGATATAAATAAATGAATATATAAACACATAAATAATAGGATTGGCATGTTAGGTGGTAGCATGTCAGATGAAAATACCCTCATACCTTCTTTTTGCAGATATGTTCCTACTACTCTTGTCTTAGCCATCTCTGAGGTAGATGACACACAAGTCGGCAAATTTAGTTTCTATACAAAAGAAGCCATCCTGAAGGTAAATAATTCTGTTTGCATTTTTAAAAAGGAGTTAAAATAAATGGATTTGCTCATATGTTTGATGCACAAGTGTGGTGGATTCTTGTTCTCTGAAAGTATAGAAACAAAACAAGGAATGACGAGCGCAGTTGTAAAGAGTTTATTTAGTAAGGAGAAAGTAAAGGCCACTCACAAGAGTGAGCAGTAGGACCAGAAACCATTGTTTACCAGCTGTTTTGTATTGTCTCTCCCTACCTTTTCTCCTCCCTTTTGGCAATTCGGTGATTGGTTTGTTTGAAACAAGCCAGACCCTCTCCTGGGTAGTAGCTTATAGGAGGGCTGGCCTGGGTTATAGCCAGACCCAAGACCCTCCCCTGGGTGGTGTCCACTGATTGGGGTGGGGTTAAGCTGGCCTGAACCAGTTGGCTGATGTTTTCCTTCATGTTCTTTAAAAGATCAATACTTAATGTATAAATTTGGCTTTATAGCTGGCTGCCAGTGGCTCATGCCTGTAATCCTAACTAATCATACGACTGAGACTTGAGGACCACAGTTTGAAACCAGCCTGGGCAGAAAAGTCCATGAGACTCTGACCTCTAACCAGCAAAAAGCTGGAAGTAGAGGTGTGGTTCAAGCTGTAGAGTCTAGAGTTGAGCAGAAAAGCCAAGTGAGAGTGTGAGGCCTTGAATTCAAACCCCAGTTCCAGCACCAAAATAAAGAAATGGGCTTTCATTTACAAGAAAGCCTCCTTCATCATAAAAGCAAGGGCTTGGCCTTGCTGATATGCACATTGGGTTGGCTTGAGCCACAGAGGTTGCAACAATGACTTCTGTTTAATATGAAGAAATCCATATAGATGAGCTGTCTTTACATCAGGCTTTTACAACGTATGCTTGTTGAAGCTTTTACCTGAGTCTTTAAAACCTGATGCCGTTGTTTCTTCTGCCACTCTGATTGTTTTGGCTCCAATATGTATATCTAAAAAAAAAAATTTAAAGTTCATGTGAGCCTACCACCTTTCCTGACCACTGGGGAACCCGTCCGTGGCATCCAGCAACCAAATGGCCCAGGCTTGGAGGCTGCCTTCCTGGAATGAAATCCTGCTTCAGTGTAAAGGATGAGTAACGTGATCCCAGTGTATCTGGAAGTTAAGTTCACACACAGGATGGCTAAGTGATCATCTCAACCCTCAACTTCTCCTCTTTCCTGATGGAGTACTTCGTAATGCCTTTCAAATTTCCTTCCTTAGCTCTTGTTCCATTCAGGAGTGGAAAACATGCAAGTGATCCTCGCATGCCAGACTGCTCAGAAAAATGCTTTGATGGTGGCTGTTCAACAGGCGACCTTCTATCACACCCCTCGGATGGGCTCGTCTGCTCACATCAAGGTCAGGAGTAGGGTGGAGAAGCCAAAGCATGCTGTCAGAACTACCACTGATGCCATATTGACCATCCTTTCCTTCCTTCTTTCTTTCTTTCCTACTTTCTTTCCTTCTTCCCTTCCTTCCTTCCTTTCCTACCTCCTTCTTTCCTTCCCTCCCTCCCCTTTCCCTCTTTCTCTCCTTCTCTTTACTCTTCCCCTCCCTCTCTTCCTCTTTTCTTCCCTTCCTCTCACATTTTTTTCTCTATTTCTGTGGGAAAACAGACTCACATTTTTCACATTTCAACATTGATCACTTCTGTGACCCTAAAAGATGTGAGAATTTCTCTTCCAGTAAGCAAGCATCATCTAGGCATCATCTAATTCAATTCAGTTTTGATATCATCTCTCTGGAGAAAGTGTCAAATCCGATTGGATGAGGAGGGTTCAGCTCTAAGACTGCCCCACTTCAGATGTACTCAACAAGTCTGGGCTTCCAGAACTTTTGTCCAGCTGGCTACCAATTGGAGTTCTCACTCCTTCCTAAGATTTACTTAATTTCCTAGAGGCTCACAGATGTTAGGGAAAGCTCTATTGACCTGTACTAGTCTATTAGAAGTGTACTTTAAAAGATAGAAATAAACAGCCAGAAAAGAGCAAATTCTTGATAAACCATTGTCCCTATGAAGTTGGGGTACAGCCCTCTCCACACAAGGATAAGTTCTCAGTCACCTTTCTACAAACCTCCATGTGCCCAGCTGTCCTGAACTTCTCTGAGCCCTTTTGTCCTTTGGGCTTTTATGGAGATTTTGTTATATAGGAGTGACTGACATCTATCTGGACAACCCTGTGGAAGTTGATTAGGCAGAAAGGATGTGATTCAATTCTAAATGGGGAGAACCAGCAAGGCCTTTCTGTCCAAATTCCTCATAGGCCTGGAGCAGACTCCTTCTGAAATAAGGTCTCATCATTGCCTATCAGACCAGGTGGGTCAGAGAATTTAAGAATAGAGTTTAATGACCTGCCCTGGGGAAGAGAAATCCCAATTTCTAGGGTTTTCCCTGGAGACAAAGAAATATTAAGACTAGGGATGTGTGTGAGAGAGACAGAAATGGAGAGACAGAGACAGAGCGACAGACAGAGACAGACAGACAGCTTTGTTTTTTTGTTTTATGGGACCGGCTTCTGCACCCAACATCATTCTAGTCACTTAGGAATCAATAAGGGCTATGAGAGTTATGAGCTAGGACCCGAGGAAAACCAAAAAAATATAACTCATGTTGTTGCTGGTAGTGAAGGCTGGAGAAGTTCTGAGAGAGAGAGAGAGAGAGAGCATTCTACCCACCCAGTCTTTCCAGATTCTTGTCATCATCAGAGAAAGAATTCAGAGATGAGAAAAAGTAAGAAAGTGGGAGGCAGTTTTATTACATAGTGAAAGGACTTCTCAGCTCTTATCACCCAAGATTTTGGATAGCAGCATCTTATGGGCAAACTTTAATGAACAAAAAGATTATTTGTTGATGTATGTTGTGTGCTCAGGACAGGGGTAGGGCTGGGGAATTGGTGAAGATTTTCTCAAAATAGAGTTTTCTCTCCTCTTCTGTCCTTATATAAGGTTTTTCAGATGCATCACAGCATCAGATGCAGGATGGGAACAGGCAATTTTGTAGGGCTAATAATATGGAGGTGTCGTTTCAATGAAAAAGAGGACAGTTGGTGGCCATGTAGGTCAGACTGTGTTAGTGGGCTTCCTGTCTATATGTGAGTGGTCACCTAATGTCCTCCTCTGGAGACATCACCCTCCAGCCACCAGGCAGTTTACCTCTTTATTTTGTTCTATACCTATGTAAGTCACATCAGTACCATACTACCTTTTGATTTTTCTTTTCTTTTTGTACATTTTTTAATTGTAAAAATGCTGTACAGAGGGATTTCTGTTACATGAGAAAGGTAATGAGTACATTTTCTATTGAGCATTGTTGCCTCCTCCTTTGTTTTACCCCTACCATCCCTTTCCTTCCATCTCCACAACTACCCCCTTAGCCCCCTGCCGAGTTTTAAGTTCACTTACAACATAGTGTTTTGGACATCTCATTGTTACAATGGGTCAACCTGTATCCTTATTTAAGCATTTTGTTTTTTTTCCTTCCCCTCCCCGAATTAAAGAAGTGTATATAGAAGATGCAGGGCACCGACATCAAATACAGTGAAAACAGGGGTTATACCATGGGGGAGGACATATAAAGAAACAAACAAAAAAAATCACATGGTACATTATAAATACATTAGAAACAATAGCAAGAAAGAAAAAAGATATTTGTGTCCCTATCTTGGGGTTCATTTCACTTAACATCATCTTATATGGTCATATGTATATAGCTTTTGGCCTTTTCTGCTTGGGCTACACATATACTAGTTATTGCAAATAAGGGAAACCATGGGACCTATGTTTCTTTGGGCCTGGCTTACTTCACTTAATATAATTTTTTCCAAGTCTTTCCATTTCCTAACAACTGGGGCAATGTTATTCTTTCTGATGGAGGCAGAGAATTCCAGCAAAAATACCCTTGTCCTTGACCCTTACCTTTATAGATAAATTATTGCATTGGATTTTTATTTATCCTTCCAATAATTCTTTTCCATAAAGAATGTGGCAATGAAATCTATCAGCAATATTTCTTGGACCACTCCATACAGAGCAATCCATCTAACAATTTTGAGAATGGAGAGTGTTTTTTTCAGTGCACTTTAAACAATTGTATTCTGGAAATAGTCATACTTAAGGCCCTATTCCTGTGTTGTGCAAAGTGGTACCTCTCTTCCGTTCCTTCCCTTCCTTTCCCTTCCCTTTCCCTTTTTCTCCATTCCCTTCTCTTTCTCTCTCATTTTTTCTCTTTCTCCTCCTTCCCTTCCCTCTTTCCTATGTACTCAAGTATTTCCATATGTTTGGGGTAAATTGTGGTTATACGATAATATTACATCTAGCACTAAGGACTTATATGTCCAACAAACTGCAATTGCTTTGATTTGAAATGTTTTAGGAAACCAATTCAAGTCTGAGGACTCATAGTGGAATTAGTCCATCCAGAAGAAGGAATTCCAGAATTCTGAATGGCATGGACAACCTGCTGTCATCCCCAATGCCAAGAGTCCCGGATACCCATACTCATTCTTCAGAAAGATTTCAGACCACAAAACGGTATTGTGCCTAGTGGGGAAAATTGTTTAAAATAACAAACATTTCTTATTTTAAGTCAACTAAGAATATACCAGGCATCAGTAGCTCATGTTCCTGTAACTCAAGATGCTGAAATCTGGAGGACCTTGATTCAAGGCCAGTCTAGGAGCTCACTAGACTTCATCTCTAAATAACCAGCAAAAAGCAGAAGATGTGGCTGAAATGATAGAATGGTACCTGTAAGCAAGAAAGTCAAGCAAGTTCAAGGTCTTGAGTTCAAACCTAATATATATACATTGGGATGTGTCTCTGAATTAGGGATGTCCTATTATGTCTTGCCCTCTTTTTGTCACAACAGAGAAAAAATTCTTGAATAATTAATTATTCTAATTATTCTGAATATATTGTTGGGACCATACCAATGACATGGTAATTTAATTATGGCAAATTTCAAATAAAAAATAATGGGCAAAGCAACTGTATGACTCAAGATGTCGTTGGTCTCACTGGGCCAGCCTTCATAAGGCTTCAATTTACAGTCCCAGAGTGTGGATGAAAGATTCAATGTCAGCATATCTAGTAAAGAAGACTTTTGGGAGGCTATCCCAGGCTAGCTACACCAATGGCAAAGGCTAGGATTGCACGTTGGGCCAGGCTGTGATGTTTGGGACTAAGGAGAGACTACTGATATATGCTGTACAATGGGGTCTCCAAGGAGCACAGTGGCCCATCACTGACCCCAGAGAATAATCAGAAACTCCTAGAGACACAATCCCCTGCCCTCCAGCTGCAGCATGTGAGTTTTCTTCATACATGTCCACTCAGCCCCCCCACCCCACCTTAGATCCAAATGTCTCTCTCTTTACTTGCCAGAGCTCCAGAGGCTTTTGTGTCTATTCAACTAGAGAAGGTGGGCTTGCGGGACATGATGCTCAATGCCTTCCTCCTCAGAATGCAGACCATGGCTGACCAAACAAAGAGCCCTGTGAGTACAGAGAGGAGCTCCCTGAAGCTCTGTTTTTCCTCTATACTTAGGCAAAGACAACTTCTTAGCTTGGAATCTGTGGTTTTCAACCTATTTGGATAAGAATATTGAAAACATATTGTAAAGACCTAAAAGGGAGAGCTCAATCAGTAGTCGATTCAAGTAGATTACAGGTGTGTGTGTGTGTGTGTGTGTGTGTGTTGTGCATGTATGTGTGTGTGTTGTGCAAGTAGTAGAACTTGAACTCAGGGCCCGGGTACTATCCCTTAGCCATTTTGCTCAAGGCTGGTGCTATTCAGTTGAGCCACAGCTCCACTTTTGGCTTTTACTGGTTAACTGGAGATAACAATCATGGATTTTCCTGCCCAGGCCAGCTTTACACCACAATCTTCAGATTTTAGCCTCCTGAAATAGCTAGGATTACAGGTGTGAGCAACTGATACCTGGCTTTATGGTTGATGTTTTGTTTTTTTTTTTAATACAATGAAGGCCAACTATCTGTTTGCTGCCTTCTGAATAGACTAGTTTCAGCTTCTGCACTGGCATATTGCCTAGTCTTAAGTAAGCCCAGGTAGTTTTGGTAACATTGGCAAGGTAACTGGTTACCTGTTACCTTGGTTTCTTAAACACTACTGACGTGTTCTTGTTTACGGGTTCTTACATTAGTCTAATCAGTTTAAAATACGATACAGCTGAAACCCTTAATTTGTTAGTTTTGCTTAACTTTGTGCATATTGTTTCAGTATTCATCTTTGATGAGGAAATTATTATACTGACAAGGTTTTTTAAATTATTGTACTGATAGTTATAATGCAAGATTTATCATCTCTAAGATTTGACTTTACCTGTGACTGAAACTGAGGACTTAAATTTGCCCAATCCAGTTCTACCAATAAGACATAAAATAGGCCAGACCTTCTTATTCATTGATGAGCAACAGTGGAGGCAAAACCAATCAATTTCCCACTCCCAATAAAGCAGTTCTCAAAACAATATTGATCAATACTGAACTATATATAATAGTTGTTTACTTAGGGAAACCTATGGGGAATGCTATTTTTTAAGGGGGAGAGGGCAGGGAGTGTGATCGAGGGGGTGAAACTGATAGAAATATAGTGTGACATATGTGGAGATGGAACAATGAAATCCACCACCTCCCATATAACTAATATCAGCCAAAAAAATACTTTACCTAACCTCCAGGATTATTCTTACACCTACCAGATCTGAAAGACTTCAAGCAACATAATGGTGTTTTGTAAGGGCCTAGAATTTTAGCCCACCAGCAAGTTAATGTTAGCCTGTTAGCTGTACTATGGATGGTGGCAGATGGCATAAGACCTCAAGGTCAGAGACAAAGAACTTCATTACAACAGAGGAGATAGCAGGAGCTTCAGGTTTATGTCTGTTTCCCTTCTCTCCCAAGTTCAATGAGTTTGTGTCATGCACCCAATGGTTTTGTATCACAGTTTAAAAACACTGAGCTTGGGGACTCACCTCTTCTATAGCAAGTGGTTATTTTTCTTAGAGGGAGATATTACCCCTCAAGATTGCTCTCTGTATACAAAACCCTGAGAAATGATCTGGGTAAAAAGCAGCCAGGGCCTGGCATTTTTTGGTAAACTCATCAAGATGTGTAGGAGTAAAGAAGACCCACAGAAGGGTTTCTCCCAATTAGTGTGCCCCCCAAAATAATGTCTCAGCTCCGTGGCCTTTTCCTGCTAGGAGTGGGTCATTCATTTGTACACATGTACTAGGATGAATACTCCACACAGCCAACTGTCTGATAAAAATATTCTCTTTTATCACAGGATGAAATTGGAAAAGTCAAAAGGGATGTTATAATTGAATATTGTCAGAAGTAAGTGTAACAGATGTGAATATTATATGATGACTTCTCTGATTTTAAGCCAGATTACCAGCCACATTATGCAAAAATCTAGACAATACATAAATAAGGCACATTTCATAAAGGGTATTACCCCACACTCAAAAGGAAGGAATGCTTCCCAGGGAGGCTAAGAAAAATCTGAACAGATAAGTTGTATATTCTCTTAAGTCTATAAATCCATCTTTCCCTTTTCTTTAATGCTATTGCTACACATCCATGTTTCATTAACTCTCAGCTTTAAAATGATAATTCAGCCTGGTGTTGGCAGCTTGTACCTATTATCCAAGTTACTCAGGAGGCTAGTTCTGAGGATCACGGTTCAAAGCCATCCTGGGCAGAAAAGCCCAGGAGACTCTTATCTCCAATTATCTACCACAAAAATCCAGAAGCAGAGCTGTGGCTCAAATGGTAGAGTGCTAGCTTTGAGCAGAAAAGCTCAGGGACAGTGCTCAGGCTCTAAGTTCAAGCCCCAGGACTGGCATAAATACATACATGCATACACACATACCCTAGGTCCTTGGGTCTCCAATCTGAAGGTTCTAATGTCATGTAAGATTTGATTAAGTAAAAATTGTGTTATTTTGTAGGAAAAAGAAAAAATCGAGACAATGAATCATGGTGACTCATGCTTAAATAAACCACAGCCCACTGGGCTAGATCCAAGTTAAACTGTTACCTGTCTTCTGACATACAGGGGAGCATACAAGTAGATGAGAGATACTTTGAAAATGTTGATACTTCTGGTTTCATATAGTACCAATCTGAGCCAAATGGAAAATTTCTTTTTATCAGAAATGCTCCATTCTTTTTGAAAAGCGTTGCAAGGTCCTGCAACTTCTGTGAGAGGTGCAGCAACCTGGATTCTCCTTTAGAACATCATTTGTCTCTTTCTGACTTACAGCTTTAACCGCCACATGTCTCATTATGCTCTCCGGAGCCAGATCATAGCATATTGTAATAGTCTGAGGGCCCTGCTGGAAGATTTCCCTACCATCAGGGATACTTTTTTCATGGTGGGACAACCACAAGAAAAGAAAGGGTTAAAGGACACCAAGGAGGACTTCAAGGCGGACCCAAGGTGAGCAATCTCCTTCAGAGCTTGTTACTCTACCTCTTAGACCCTACCCCAGGAAGGGATGTGGTAACTTTAGTATAAGAACACTTTTACTAAAATTTGGCTCTTAAGTGTCCCCCAAGTTCGTGTGGTAAAGGTTTGCTCCCCAGAGATACATTCTTGGGGATTTTAGGAGGCGATGCCTGGTGGAGGCCTTTTGGTCACTGGGGATATGTCCTTGAAGGGGATTCTAAAATCCCAGTCTTTTCCTCTTTTCTGTTTCTTGGCCATAAAGTGTGCAGTTTTGCACCACCAAACACTCTCACCACACAAAGCATTCATAAGCTTTAAAAGTATAAGCTAAAGAAGTCTCTCAAGTGGTAGATTTCTAGCCTTGAGCTAAAAGGCCAACAAGAGCACCAGGCCTTGAGTGTGATGCTCATTACTAGTACACATAAAGTAACTTTTTTCTCTTTATCTTAAGTAACCAAAAATAAGTTAATAAATAAGTTTGATTTTGAACTATCCTAACTCCAAATATTCTAGTCAATAGAATAGAAGAAATATTCAGGCTTGAACTCAGGACCTGGGCACTGTCCCTGAGCTTCTTTGGCTCAAGGCTAGCATTCTAGCACTTAAGCCACAGCACCACTTCCGTTTATATGATACTGAGGAATCAAACCCAGGGCTTCATGCATGTTAGGCAAACACTCTACCACTAAGTAAGCCACATTCCCACCCCAAAGAAGCATATTACTTTTGTTGTGGTTGTTGTTGTTGTTTTGTCAGTCATGGGGTTCAAACTGGGAGCTATCCCTGAGCTTTTTTACTCAAAGCTAGTGCTCTACCACTTTGAGCCACAACACCACAAAAGTTCTTATCTTGGCCTACCTAGAATTCACTCACCTGGACAAAGCAGTTAGCATACTGTGTAGTCACTAACCATACCTCTTTAAAAGTGAGGGTAGCATTATATGGTCTTCAAGAAGGAGCAAAAATACCCTGTAGGGTGAGCTTACTTCTCCCTTTACTCTCTCACTTAAAGCTTGGAATTTCAGTAACAATAACACTTAAAGTATGATCATAGACTGAACAAATGAAGGGAATAGACAGATCACTTACATCGTACACTCACTCATTCTTGTGTACACATACTGTTCAACCATTGTTTGTCCAGTGCTTGCCTAGTTCTGGGTACTTTGGATGTAGCTGGTGGTACAAAGGTGAGTAATCATAGACCCTGGCAATAAACTCAGTCTGGTAGAGGAATCTCTGTAACAAACAACTTCAGAGGTAATGTGATAGAGGTCAGTAAGAGGCATGTAAAGGTTCACGGGAGGATGTTTGACTCTACCTCAGGACCTCGGGAAGGAATTCAAAGAGGCAGGCACAGAAAAGTTGGAATTTCGCAAGAAAATGGACTCATTGATGTAAGTCCAGAGTTTGAAAGAAGTTGAATTCTTTAAGCCCTTGGCTAGTCAAGTCAGACAAAGAACTGACTATCCACACAAAGGCCACTCCTATGTTTTTACTTATCAGGTGTCCTACTTCTAAATAGCAGGGTTTGGTTTTATGAGCTTGGTCTCCGTTCTATGAATTTGGTCCACTTTAGGTTTCAGAATTTTCCTAGGGGAAGAATGCATTTGAGAGAAGCGTAGAGGACAGACCTCCATGACTCCTTTGCAGAAGAGTTTGAGTGGATACAGGCGCTCAGTGAGACTGAATGGCAGCTTTTCTCATGGGGAGAATCAGAGACACAGCCTCTAAAATGTCTTATTTCATTACTTCCCCACTCTCCAGCCAAGGTGACCATTTGTAAGCCCAATCTACCTCTGGGATCAATCTTTAAAATTTCTTTGCAGATAGTGAACCATGATTTCATTTGCCTTTGGGGATTATTTGTCTTCAGGAGAGCTGTTTTTGTTTAATTTTCAGCAATCAAATAGGGATGTGAAGGCAGGGGGATCTTTTTTTTATTGTGAAAATACTGTACAGAGGGGCTACAATTACATGAGCAAGGTAATGAGTACATTTCTTATCAAGCATTGTAGCCTCCTCCTTTGTTTTTCTTTTACCATCCTTTCCGTCCCACCACACAACTATATCCCCCCCCACCAAAGTTGTAAAGTTCATTTTTCGACATAACATCTTGTACACCTCTTTGTTGCAATGGGTCCACCTGTATCCCTATTAAACAATTTGTTTTTTCCCTTCCCCTCCCCAAATTATACCAACATTAAATACAGTGAAAACAGGGGTTATACCATGGGGGAGGGACATGCAAAGCAACAAAGAAATCATCTTATAAACATGTTAGAAGCAATAGCAAGAAAGAAAAACCATTTGAGTCCTTACCTTGGGATTCATTTCGCCTAACATCAACTTATCTGACCGATTCTGCTTGTCTCAGACATATACTAGTTATTGCAAATAAGGGAAACCATGGGACCTATGTTTCTTTGGTCCTGGCTTACTTCACTTAATATAATTTTTTCCAAGTCTTTCCATTTCCTAACTAATGGGGCGATGTCATTCTTTCTGATGGAGGCATAGAATTCCATTGTGTATATATACCACATTTTCTTGATCCATTCATCTACTGAGGGGCATCTGGGTTGGTTCCATATCTTAGCTATGGTAAATAATGCAATAAACATAGTTGTGCTGGTAGCTTTAGTATGGTCTTGTTTGAGATCATTTGGGTAAATGCCCAAAAGTGGGATTGTTCGGTCATAGGGACGCTCTATGTGGAGTATTTTGAGGAACCTCCATGCTGCTTTCCAAAGTGGTTAAGGGCAGGAATCTTTTTAATATGTATGTCTTGCCCTATTTCCTTGTTGTGTCTTGAAAATGTTTATAGTTCCTAGAGGCTAAGGAATATGGTCATTCAAGACAACAAGCCTTGATTTCTGAGCCATCTGGTCAGTTAGTGGAGTTAGTTAGAGTTTCAGGGCAGGGTCTCAGGACAGAAAGTGTGATCACAGTGGGTGTCACCCAGCCCCAAGCCACATAGGCAGGCAGTAGATGGGCTGTGACAGACACAGATTCAGTGTTTCTTCACTACCCCATCTCCTGCTTATAAACTTTCTACATATTAATACGTCCCTTTTATTTTTTTTTATTTTTGGTTGGTCGTGGGGCTTGAACTTTGGGCCTGGATGCTCTCCCTCAGCTCTTCAGCTCAAGGCGAGCGCTCTACTGCTTGAGCCACAGCGCCACTTCGGTTTTCTAGTGGTTTATTGGAGATAAGAGTCTCTTGGACTTTCTTGGCAGGCTGGCTTTGAACCTCAATCCTCAGATCTTAGCCTCCTGAATAGCTAGGATTACAGGCGTGAGCCACCAGTGCCAGGCAATATGTCCCTTTTAATATATACATTTATAAGAGTGTGAAAAATGGAATTTCAGTCTTTTGTAGAAGTTTGGGGAAAGTACTGTACAAGATTCTTTCTAGCTCCAAAGTCTATGTCCCATCTAATGAAGGCCTATTGAAAAATAAACCCAGTTTTTTTATTAAAAACACAAGTGTTTTAATAACAAAATACTTGAGGTAGGATATCTTTATTTTTAATAAAGACGTTTATTTAGCTCATTTCTGGAGGTTCAAAAGGATGACCCCTCTTGGCTGTGCCACCTTATAGTAAGACTGCACATATAAGAACAAAGTGACACCAAAAGTCAAGAAGGCAGACATTGCTCCCACAATCCCTTCCAAGGGCACCGAAGAACCTCTCTGGGCCTTACTTTTTAAAAGTTCCGCTAACTCTCAGCGATGCCCCCTTAGGAACCAAGACCTCAACACATGAAACCTTGTTGTGAGGGACATAATTAAACCAAATCTAAACCGTAATCATCAGCTGGTAACTGGGATATCTGGAATCATGCATTTCCCTGCAGTCTTAGGCAAATCACTTATCTCCAATCTCTGAACTTCATCCTCTTCTCGTGAGTGAGGAAACTGAAACAACTATCTGAACTTGAACGTGTTATCACTTTCAGTGCTGATGTGTCTAGACCATAATTCCAAGAAATAGGACTGCTAAGGGAAGACTTTCTGAAAAGGGGCCATTTTATGATAGCTTGTATGGGAGTCACTCCTGTGTTTAACTAGAGATAAAGAGGCAGAATCGAAGGATAAGGGTCATGAAGGAAAGAGATCCTCATCTCATTCATAAAATAAGGGGATAGGTTACTTTAAAGATAACAGATAAGCTTTATTTTAAATGTCAGTTTCAACAATTCATTAGTCAGGATTCTGAGATCTCTCAAGTTAGTGTGAGCATGGTAATTGATTGGCAATGTCTGCTGTGGTGAAAGAATGGCAGGAGGAAATATAGCCTCCCTGTTATACATCTGTCATTCCTTGACTAGAAGAGCCCCAAGAGTTCTGTAGGCTTAGTATTCTAAGATGCAACTTAATTTTTTAACAATCTGAACTTACTATGTCTAGATTTCCAGAGTCCTCCCAAACCAAACTCTCTGTCAAAGAGGAACCAAATGGAGCTCCTTCCCAAAAGTCCATTCTCCTCATGGGAGGTTTCCATTCCCTTCATGAGTGCAAAGGAGACTGAGCACACTCAGGTGCACTCTGAACAATGGCATTGCCTGACAGAGGAACAGAGTGCACAGAATTGTCATGGTTAATTGAACACTTACTAGGGAACAAGCAGAGCCACTGCCATCCAATGCAGCCATGTAGTGCAAATTACAACCAGGCACCATTTCCTCTGGGCAGATGTAGCTCCATAGTGAGGTACAGGGTCTGGCAAGTAAAGTACAGGGTCTTGGACATTGCTGATTGGCTCCAGTCACAATGTGAACAATACATGACAAGTTTGGTGCCGCCACATGCTGTTCAACAATAACCCTTGCCAAGCCAGGAAAAAATGGACAAATAGTAATTGTACATCATGATAAAGAACAAAATAAAATAAATATTCAATGGAAGTACCTGCCAAGAAATGCTTAGCATTATTAGAAGGATTGGAGATATTGGAGAAAAGAAGGCTTCAAGGAAGACAGATGTTTAACCTCGGTCTGAGTGATAAGTTGTGGTCTACATGGGCAAGGAAGGAAATTCAGCTAGAGCTGAGAGAGAGCAAAGTCACAGAGACATGTAATGGGCTATGACTTCTTTGCAGAAGTCCTCACAATCTATGAAGAAAGCAATGTACAAAGGAATGGGACAAGATCCAGAAGTCTGGGGTTTGTCCTTCAGGTCACAGAGAGAAAGGGAGCAAAATGATTGTCAGTGACACCACTTGGGAGATTCCTAAAATTGTACAGACAAGAAATATTTAGTTGATGAAATCAGCTAGGCCAGGTGCCAAATGTAATATGGAGCTGAGGGAGAAAGAGGGATCTAGTCCTGGCTTGAATAAATAGGAGATAGCAGAGCCCTCTGGAGATGCAGAGTAGTGATGGATGCACAACAGTGTGAACTGACTTAGTTCTACTCAACTGTACAGTAAGGAGCCTGATATCTGAGGATTGTGGTTTGAAGCCAGCCTAGGCAAGAAAGCCCATGAGACTCTTACCTCCAATTAATCAGCAAAATGCTGAAGTGAAAAAATGGCTCATGTGGCAGAGTGCCAGCCTTGAGTGAAAAAGGTAAGGACTCAGGACTGATGTGTAGCTCCAGTACCACCACACACACACACACACACACACACACACACACACTTTCATGACTCGAAATCTTATGCTGTGATTTTTCTTCCCCTGGTCTCCCAACAGCCTATTATGCTTCTTTTTCTGGGGTTCTCTGCACTTTCATTTGTTTCCCTTAGGGTGTGCTTCTACCCAAGTGCCATGTTTGCTTGGCTGGTTGTCTCTACACCAAGTGGTCCCCTCAGACTTTGCCTTTGGTGGAAAAGGAGAGTGTGAGTCAAAAGGAAGTGGACGGAGTTCCATTCCAAAGACCTTTCACTCTTCCACAAAATAGCAGGCCATGTTGACATATGCTGGCAGGAATTGGCACTAGGCATAAAGAAGGCTTGGAATTATTGAACAAGGAAATAGGCTTGATAGCTGATCAAAGGAGAGAGAAAGGAGAATCCCAGGGTGACAGAGCTCAGGCTGGAAGTCATTTACTTGTTGTGTCAATATCAGTGCTATGATTTCTTCCAGCTGTGATCAGCAGTGTGTAACTAGAGCCGAAAGCTCTAGTTGTTGGAGGGATCTGGAGCTGGGGTTGTGCGAGGTGGATGGGTTATGAGAACAATGAATCAGAACTCAATACTAAGAGCGTAGTTCACAGTGCTTGGCTGAGATCCAGTCTGGGTCAGGAAAGAATTGAGGTTGGAGTGGGCTGATAACAGGAAGGATGGGCTAAGGATGAGGAAAGTCTAGGGGAGAGTGAGTGGAGTGACTGTGTGAGTGAGAAAACTGAAGACGAAGAGCTTCCAATTGGGAAAGTTAAGACTTTGGAGGTGATGTGGTTCCAGGAGTTGAGGTGTAGTCTAGAAGGCAGTAACTGAAGAAAAATAAAGAAGGGAGACTATATTAACAAGCCAAGGGAATTGCAAGGCCAGGTAGTTCTTAGGCTACCCACAAGGGGTGGCAATGTGTCTCCTTGTAAGACTGAGACCAGGCTGACACCAAGCTACTCTCCTATCAAGCTCCTGTTCTTCCTAGGCAGATGGCTGTTGAACAGGAAACAACACATGGACTTGGGAGAGAGCCTTATAGCTCCCAGTGCTTCTCCAAGACCAAGGTCTGTGTTCCACCATAGCCCACTTATGGTCCACAGTCCCACATGCCCAGACTCAGACTTCCTTTTTATTTTTATATTCAGCATCTCTTTCTGACACCATCAAACACTACAAACTGAAAATAGAGACAGGATTGGATTAAGCTGGCTTTGATCTGCTTCAAGACAGGAATAGTCTGTGGTTGCTAAGAAATGAAGTTCTCCATGAAGACCATGCTTTTATTTCTGAGCTGAGAATTAACTGATTAAAACTCTGAGATTTGAAAGGTAGCCTTAGGCCCAGTGATTTACATTAAGAAAACTGTTGTTTTGTTGTTGTTTTATGTTTTATAGTCAAGAGTACTCAGAGCCAGGAGCCTATAATCCTAGCTATTCAGGAGGCTGAGAGCTGAAGATTATGGTTCAAGGCTAGCCTAGGCAAACAAATTCAAGAGACTCTTATCTCCAGTTGACAGAGAAAAAGTAAGAAGTGAAGGTTTGGCTCAAGTGATAGACTGTCAGCCTTGAGTAAAAAACAAAAAAGCCATGCAAGTGTTGGATGCCTTGGGTTCAAGTCTCAGTACTGGCACTAAAAAAGGGAGGTGGGTATTTGGAACTGAAAAGACTCTGTCTTCAGGTAAAAGATTGAAGAGCTGTGTCGTACTTCAGTAAGAAAGATGGGTCATCTGAGTCACCACAAGACTAAGAAACAATGTATTCCTCATCATGATAGTCAAAAGTTCCCTATAATGCCCCCTATATGATGAGATCCTCCCATTCAGACTCCTGTGGGGACAATGGAAATCGAATGAAAATTGGGTATTAATATGAGTGGTTTAAACAATAGAATCCTTAGGGCCTTAGGAGCAATGAGAAGGGACAGTCTACAAACATCACCCTGGCTCCCTGGCTGCTGGGGACTGAGGCACTGTGAAACCCTAACATGTAAACACAGGATTGGGCTGTAAGGGCTGAGCAACTTGGGTGTTGCCTTTTTTTTTTTTTTGACAGAGCTTGGCACTGCCAGCCAAGGAGTGGGTTGGAACTCTGTGGCTGAGGAGGGGCCAGGCCCACCTACGTAGATGTAGGAGTCACTGGCAAATAGACAGTAGTTGTAGCCAGAAGAATGACCTAGGGAAGAATGGGACAAACAGAGGGTTCATCTCCCTAAGCCCAGGCTCAGTGGCCAGGAGACTATGGGGGTGAGGACTCCACACTGACTGCACACCTCCCTCTGCTATTTCCTGTGAGGCCTCTTCCAGCAAAATCCTCGTGAACCTGAAGTAGTCCTGCTCTCTGCTCTTCCCACAGGATCCTCAGTTCTGGGACATCCTGTCTGGAGAGTCAGGTCCCCAGTTTTAACGAATGACTCTCAGGTTCCCTGTGCACCCTTGGCTCCTGCCCACCCTGGGCTTCTTTACTGCTCCAAATGTCACACACCTCTACATTAGCATAATGACAAACCTTGTAGCGCATGACTTGCAAAATGCTTTTTTATGTGCTCCTTTAATACTTTCTCCTCACATCAGTCCTGTAAGTTAGAAATTGTTACCCTCATATTAACTATGAAGAGACAAAAGAGTTTTTAATGCCACAGAATCATGGATGATGAGCCAGACGCCAGGGGCTCATGCCTGTATTCCTAGCTTCTCAGGAGGCTGAGATCTGAGGATCATGATACAAAGCCAGCTCAGGCAGGAAAGTCCGTGAGACTCTTATCTACAATTAACCACCAGAAAACCAGAAGTAGCACTGTCGCTCAAGTGGTAGAGTGCTAGCCTTGAGCTGAAGAGCTGAGGGACAGCGCCCAGGCCCAGAGTTAAAGCCCCACAACCAACCAAAAAAATATATATCTATATATCTGTATATATAGATATATATATGGATATATATAGAGATAGATAGATAGATATATACCTATATATAGATATATATATGGATGATGGAATTGGAATAAAAATCAGGTCCCTTGATGCCAAATTCCCTACCCTGTTAACTGGGTGAACCACCACTACCCACACCCCAGCCAAACACAGTTAACCAGATTCGATAGCTCTGGGCCACCTCACTCCTAGGACAATCAGAAACCAGGTCAGCATGTCACCTCCCTCCAAGGGCTGTGTTGCACACAGAGGGTTTCGATTTGTATGAAACAGCCAAAACCCAACAGAGTACCTTTTACTGATATGTCTATTTGGGGTAAAACTACAAATAACAACAAGGTATTGGTTACTGTGAAGTCAAGAAGGTTGTTCAAGGAGGCATGCACCAGGCTATAGGAATGCTTGTGACATTCTCTCTCTCTCAGGACAGGCACCTGGGCTTGTGTCAATCCTTATTCCAGACATAGCAGATTGCACGTAGTATATAAACTGCAGCAGGGACAGGCTAAACGTGATAGGGTGTTTGGAGTTGGACAACAGAGACAGAGAGAAGCAAAAGAAGCCTAGAGGCTGGGGTATCTGGCAGAAAAATGGAGCTGCTGTCTGGAACCCAGATTGGTTTCTTAGGAGTTGGTAGGCAGGAGCTGCATCATGTCTTAAGTCCCCAATTTCCTCAGTTGTGAAACAGGAACAAAAATAGATCCATCCTGAGATTGTAAGAAGCATTACATGATATAAAATGAAGAATGGAGCTCCAGGTAGGATGGCAGACTCCTAAGTCCTGTCCTTCCTTTCCTTTCTTACCACACTTTCTCTCCCTCTATGTTCAAGAACATCCCTACCACACAGCTTAGGCTAAAATCAGCCCAACTGCCCTTCCTGCTGGGTTATTTATAATGAACTCTGGCCAACTGGGAGCTGCCGCAAAAGAGGCCCGCTGCTGTGGAGCTAGGACTGGGCAGGTGGTGACAGGCCTCTACAGCCTGCGGCCTGTGTCCTAAGTTCAGGCAGCCCACAATGCTTCTGGTTTGGGGAAAAACTGGTGTGACTGGTGTTCTCTTCCAATGCTACAGGCATTTTCAACCCCGGCCCTGGAGTTTGTTGTCAGCCGATGGAAAAGTCTTCCTCAATTTATGGTTCATACCCCATCCTTCAGAAGTGCTAGTTATGTTCAAAACTCTGCCAGAAAAGGTTTGTATTTTCTGGATGTGTCCAAATGGAAACTGGCTATTTTCTTGTGTCTCACTGGTTAAACACAGCAATGACAGACACCACCTCTTGTTTGTTTTAGGACACGTTTAGTAACTGAAATCATTTCATAGCTCCTAATACATTTTTCTGTAATTTCTGCCAGGCCTTATTATATCCCAAGTTCTGTTTTTTTTTTCTGGTCATTTATAAACAGTAACATGAGCTTCTGACATTCCTTATTAACTCTTAGTGTCCCCCAAACATTTCAATAAAACCCTGTCTGTAGGTAATGAGAGATAAGGATTGCACTTGCATCTAGTAGCTGAATTTTGGGGATGTTTATTTTTATTTTTTAGACACCATCTCACTAGACCTAAATTTATAATCCATCTGCCTCAATCTCTCAAATGCTGGGATTACAGAGTGCACCACGATGTCCAGCTACTAATTTTTGAGGGCTTTTTCTATGAACCTTAACTTACTGTTAGAGAATAATATTGATAACCACAAAAAATAGATATAGAAACACATAAAATACGTAAGCATGTGTTAAATAGAATTGCAAGGTTGAATATGGCATTTGGGCAATAATCTGACTTTTCTTTGTAAATGAGAGTCTGTTTAGAGATAAATACCCATGTTTTGCTTAAGCCTATTCACTCAGGTATTCACAATGCTGTCTGAATATGGGTTCCTGCTGTGAGCTTGTTTGTGGCCTTTATAATTCACTAATGGTCACACAAACACATTTCCATTAATTCACAGCCATTCATTACCTTAAATAAACAGAAACACATGCCTTTCTCCTCCTCTATTCCCACAGGAGTGACTGTCTAAAACAAGTAAGTTCATAAATAGGCTTGATTTTTTTTTTCTTTTGGAAAGTGGGGAGAGAATTGATTTCAAGACTTCATGCTTGCTAGGGTGGTACCACTCGAATCATGCCACTTAGCCTAGCTTTTGCTGGTTATTTTGAAGATGTAGTTCCAAAGACTTTTTTGCCCAGGCTGGCTTTGAATCATAGTCCTTCCAATTTCAGCCTCCTGAATAGTTAGTATTATAGGCATGAGTCACTGGGCTTGTTGTTTTCTTTTCTTTCACATACTATCCTACATACATTGTAAAAATACTTATTTATATACAATCAGCCATCTGTACCACAGGTTCTACATTCATAGACCCAATTGACCACTTACTGAAAATATTTGGAAAAATAGCTTTATCTGTATTAAATATACACAGACATTTTGTTTCTTGTCATTATGCCCTAAACAACACACTACACCAATAATTTACATAGTATTTACATTACATTAGGCATTGTAAGTAACATAGAGATGATTTAAAGGAGACTCTTGTAACTACCACTCCATTTTAAATAAAGCGCTTGCTCATCTGCATATGATCACACCAGTGGAGCTCCTGGGACCAGTGTCCTGTGGATACCGAGGGACCACTGTATTCTTGTTTAAAGATATTATCCCTAATCTACTCAAATATTTTATTTTGCTTCTTAGCAACTTCCTAAAATGTATTTCCTCGTGTTGTTTTTTTCCCACAGGCAGCTTTTAGAGCCTTAAAGCTCACTCTCCAGCTGATAGGCCCTCTCCATGACATTGTGGCCTACCTTTTCAGTTTTGCTAAACTTGGCAATTGTGCAGCATGCTTTGAATTCCCTCTGAGTCCTAGCCCTTCAAGAGGCAACTGGGGAGGAACTGAGGGCATTGGTAAGTGATTCATGATGATGAAAACTGCCTCCTATATTGACTTGAAATTCTATAAAGTTCTTAATACTTGGAAAGCCAGAACTACAGTATTTCCTTATAAAGGACAGTGGTAAGAAGGGCAGAGGAGAAGTGCCAGTATATACTGTCTCCAAACTGCACATTTACCTGATTGATTCCACATGGATAGCCTAAACCACAAAGGGCACTGAGGAGTCAGGAGGCTCATGTCAATGCCTGTCTCTGCTCTTCAGTTAGTAGATGTTAAACACTTCACTACTGCATTTCTGTTTGTCCATCCATGAAATAAGATAACAATATCTGTCTCATAGAGATGTTCTCAGGATTTGAATCTATGTAAGAATTCTAGCAGGATGCACAAGGCCATACTAAAGATTAGTTTTCTTCCATTCCCTTTCCTTCCTGGTCAGTGTGAACTCTCGCAGCTAGTTCAGAGCCAAGCACTCAATGTTAAGAAACTTGCAGCAGTCCCTGTTAGCATTAGCTAATACCACCTGATAATCCTAGTGGTAAGAATGTTTAAGGCTTTAGTTTCCTCCACTGATCAGCGAGTCCTAGCTCAGCACCCAGATTATAAAACAAGTCTAACCATTTATAGTATTAATATTTTATAGCATTTATAAGATACTATGCAATAGCCTCATATGGATGGCAAGGTGCTGGTGGATCATACCTGTAATTCTAGCTACTCAAAAAGCTGAGATCTGAGGATTGCAGTTCAAAGCCAGGGCAGGAAAAGTCCATGAGACTCTTATCTCAAATAAACTACTCAGAAAAAAGACAGAAGTAGTGCTGTGGCTTAAGTGGTAGAGTAGTAGCCTTGAGCACAAAGATTCTCAGGGACAGTGCTCAGGCCCTGAGTTCAAGCCCCAGGACTGGAAAAAAAATTGCCTCATATGTAGTGAATGGAGTTCATCAGAAACAGAGAATCTGATCTTAATTTAATAATTTGGCTCCTATTCCAGAAAGTCACTAGTTGTGTAACTGTTAGTCAATAATAGGAAAATATTATAACAGTAGCCAGGAATTTAAAGAATGAGATGGTCTAAGAAGAGAGTCTGTTTAAGCCTAGTGATTTAAAAATGTGATATAGAGTCTGTTCTTCTCTGGCCAGTGCATGAACGACTGTGTGGCGGACACGGGATAGTGGCCAATCGATTTGGATTATGCTATCTATGCTGAAGGAATCTGAACATTTTTGTGGGACCTAGGGGCGGGTTTGAGTGATCAGCTTGGAGGAAGAAGGATGACTAGCTGAGGCAAGGCATGAGGAGGGGGCATCGTGCAAGTCTTCAAGACTGGCATGAAAAATGAAAGTACCAAAGCACTTCCACCCTGGGGACTATTGAGAGTTACTCAGAAGATACAGTAAGATGCTCTTAGCGAAGTTACTGGGTACTGGACTTCTCACAAAGGTCAGAAAATAGGAGAGTGGCCAAGACAAGTGCCCATCATGTCCTTGGGGTGTGAGACTGAAGTCGAGAGATCCAGAGCCAGGTTCCAAATGAGGAAGTTTCCAGCAGTTGGGAGCAAGAAGCATGCTGGGAAGAGCCTGCAGATAGGTGGTTTGGGAGCACGCACCCTAATTTGGTGGAAGTGGATTGGATAGTGGAGGAAACAGGAGGGACCATCTCAGCATGACACTAGGGAGGTCAACTGTTTGTGGCCAGTGCATCTGCCCAGCAGTGTAGTGTTGAGACATTGTGGGATGGGGGTCCAGATGTGAGGATCTAGAAGCCACTGTTTCCTGCTGTTTAGGTGCTAGACAACTGGAAACCCCTGAGCCCTGTGGGTTTCCCTGTGGGATGCAGGTTTTTCAAGGTGTGTGCTTAGACATGCACAGTTCAGCACGTTGTAAGGACAGACATTTGTGCTTGGGGGAGAATGGGGAAACTTTTGCAGGCTCTGATCTGCAGAAACGAGATAAAAGGTTAAGTAAACTAGAAAGAAAAAAAATCCACTCTAAGATAATCATTTTTTTTACAAAAGGCTGCTTAGTTCCTGATGCTAGAGGAAGAAGAGAGAAATGGGAGTCTGTTCCTTTAAGCCATGTCAGAGATACTTGGAGGTGGAGAAAATGAGTGGTGTGGACTTAAATGCTTCCAGTATTGTAAAAATGTATTCTCAGGATTTGGGGTTTTGCTCCTCCCCCTTGGAAGATAGAGGCAGAAGCCAAAGTGGCGGCTCTTACAGCCCAAGGAAACGTTCTGTCCACCCTGCAAGTTCTCCCTTTCCCTGAAAGCCAGCAACTCCCTCTGCAGTCAATGAGAAGCAGCAGAGTGGAATAAGAATGCAAATCACACTGAGCTAGCTTGCCTTTACCTCCCCCCCCCCTCCATTTCTCCTGTCTCAGTCTCTTTCTCTCCTCTATCTTTCCTTTGTGTCTCTCCTTTCCTCGGTCTTTCTCTCTCTCTTTCTGTTTCTGTGTCTTTCTCTATGTCTCCTTTTCTTCTTTGTCTTCTTTTCTCTCTCCTTTCCTGACTCTAATCTCTCTGTGTCTCTGTCTCTGTCTCTGCCACTCTGTCTCTGTCTCTGTCTGCCTCTCCTTGTCTCTCTGTCTGTCTTTGTCTGTCTCTGTCTCTCTCTCTCTGTCTCTGTCTCTGTCTCTCTCTCTCTCTCACACACACACACACACACACACACACACACACACACTTCATGTTTTCCCTACTTCTCCTTTCCTCTGTCTCTGTTCTTTGTCTATCTCTCTTTTCCTTCTTGGGAAAGGCATGAAAAACTTTCCCTTTCCTCGTGTTCCACCTTGCCTGCCCCCATGCCTGGGAATCGTCTGTCGGGCGCCTCTCCCTGCCTAGTCTGCCACTTCCCTTCCCACAGAGTCCTATTCCCACAAAAAGGATAGCCAGAATGAAGATTTTTAAATCAGTAAATAGCAGAGAAAAAGTAGTTCAGAGTGTACAGACAGCACCAAGAGGATGTGATCCCATAACCAACCACTCCACCAAGTGCAGTATTTTGATGTATTTTTACTCCCTTCTAGCCCTTGCCCATACATTTTCATGTACATTCTCAGGGCTTTAATCATAAAGTATGTGTACCTTTATATTTTCCTCATTGCAAAGAATTATAAACATTTCTCCCTGCTTGCCACTTGGACTGACCATACATTCCTTATGGACAAAACAAAACTAGGCCTTGAACAACTGGGGCTCAGGAACCACCCTCCTCTCACAAGTCATCACTAAAGTCCCTGTGCCATCTTCTCTGATGCTACTTCTCTTTTGGTATACCCTTTTTGGAGCCCAATAGGACTATCAGATTTAGAGTACTCATTTTAAAAAATTGACTGTTAGAATCAATGATTTGAGAGTCAGGAAAAAAATCCAGGAATCTATTTTTCTGTTGTGTGTAAAACAGAAAATGGATATGAATCTGGATTGCTTAGTCTTTCCTAGAGCCAAGAGAAATTGTTGTAAGCACTAAGAACAATCTTTAACCCTGATCAAGCTCTCCCATAGAGCTTCCCCTTCCCACAGTCCCCTGCTTTCCTCCAGTGCTGGAGCAGGTCCAGAACTGGGCCACATGGGGGAAATGGGGAAATACTGATTGGGTCTGGAGGAGGAGGAGGAGGAGGAGGAGGAGGAGGA